ATCCAGCTCATGGTTCATGACTACACTGTGGAAAGGCCGATGAGGACTGGTGGCAGGAGACCCCTCTTAGTTTGCTCCCACTAAACATTTACATGCAACGTTACATTAAACTGATGCAAGTGTCCACGCTGCAAACAGGTCACCAGCGGTGCAGCTGAAACGGCTGGGTTAACGTTAAGCTTCACACTTCTTTAAAGCTATTAAACGAGCTGACACCAAACTGTTGGCTAGCTAAGTTAAACCAAGGACACAATGGATGTTACATGCAGTACCTCTACAATGATTTCTGAGCATCAGAACGTATTTATTCATGATGTCTTAATAGCCGCAGACATGCTGTTAGCTAACCGGCTAACGCCGAGCAGCAGCAGCGAAGGTTTTTTTAGTCATCAGTCTTCCTGACCAAAGACCTGGTTGTAGCAGCTGAAGCCGGTCCCACTCACCTCTCACATGCCGATCTGAACGAGTCGATGCTGCTCGCATCTTGAGTGGAAATGACACATCAATTTGCAGCACTAATCAGCTAGTTGGCTAGCTAGCTGGCGTTTGCTAGCCGAGCCACTCTATTTCCTTCGGTGTCACATTCACAGCACATCTCTGTGTTGGCACACAGCGGAGCCAGCGCTGCTTGCACCTCCACCTCTGGTTCCAATTACCCCCACCCCGGGTTCTTTCGCCAGCACCACAGCTGCTAATGCTAGCAGCCCACAGCGTCTACTCCGCTACAAACGTTCCTCTGCCGCTGGCTTTGTATCCACAATGACACTTTGCTGCGAAAAGTATTTTCCTCTTCCCTGGCTCGGCTCCTGGCACTCCAGCGGGGTCCACCACAGGATGCCTCTTCTCCTGTATGATGACGGCATACTCAACAAAGTACACTTCCGGATTATCGACTCGTTTAGGACCGAGTTGACCCCAACAATTAGGCCTACTTTTCTTACTACAAACCTGCCACACTGCACACTAATAACCGGGACTGAGAAAGATAAAAGGCTGGTCAAAACTGAAGCACCAGAGAGATTTCTTGACTTTTATTCTCTAGAATGTGTCACGCTCCAAAAACACCTGCATGCTTTCACTTCCCAGTAGCATCTTTCAGTAGAACTACGTTTGAGTAAACTGTATTCTAACAACAATATGACGTAACAGAAACAGTATAAATATATTTAATGTTAATTCTATTTTAATATGCAAGGATAATGCAATTGTTGACTTGCACCACTACTGTATAGTGTATTACTAGGCACTATCATTATACAGTGTATGTTTAATATATAGTTGTTGAGATCATTTGTTTTATGACTGGGCTGCTGTAACACGGCAATTCAGGGGTTTACACTGCCAAAGCTAGTGTGAAATAAACATGTACGTAAACAGAAGAATTGTGCTATTAAAAATGTATATACAGAAAGTCGAATTAAAATAATAATAATTAGGTGGGTAGGTAGATTTATTTTGTCTCAATATAACAGGCTATAAAGTGAAACTGAGTTTGTAACTCCCTTCTTATAGCAGACAATATACATTAATATAGAATCAATTATAAAAATGGTAAACTATCTCTATAAACTATCATCAGTGGAGCAGTGCTGAGGATGAATTAGAGTTTAAGAGTCTGATAGTTTGGGGGAAAAAGCTGCTCTGCAGTCTGGCGGTGTGGCAGCAGAAATTTCTATATCTCTTCCCAGAAGGCAGCAGGGTGAACAGGCTGTGGCTGGGTGGCTGCTGTCCTTTAGTATCCTTTGGGCTCTGCAGACACCTCACCTCACCGATATCACTGATGCTCGGGAGATGGGTACTAATGAGCAGTTTTAATCACCCGCTGGAGAGTTTTTCATTCATTTTGGTATTTTATCTAATTGTTCCCTTTGTAATGTGCTATATACTTTGTTTTATCAAGTGTTCTGTAAATAAAATAAAAATATTATAATTATTAATGATAGGTTGTAGTAATTATTAATATTCTGATTATTATTATTAGTAGCATTCTGTTGCTGTATATCAAGTGTCAAGAAATACAAAATTGTTAACTCAAAGTGCATTAACTCATTCACCCAACAGAATCTCAACGACAACTGAAACACTGTTGCGGCTGTGGCTCAGGAGGTAGAACGGGTTGGCCGTTAATCGGAAGGCCCTGGTTGCGTGTCGTGTGCGTGTGCGTGGCAAGATACTGAACCCCCGATTTGCCCCTGGCGGCTGTTCCGCCAGTGTATGAGTGAGTGTGAATGTTAGTTTCTGTTTGAGCACTTAGGCTCAGTGTATGAATGTGTGTGACTGGTGAATGCAGATGTAGTGTAAAAGTGCTTTGAGTGGTCGAAAAGACTAGAAAGGCGCTATACAAGTACGGAGCACTTTACATTTTACATTTACTTCACTGAGAGTGATGTTTTCAGGTTTCTGCTGCTAAGAGGCTAAACCACTGAATTAATACAGCTTATGTAAAGGTTGCATTTGAAACATCAAACAAGAAAGCACTGGTAGAAATTGTGAAACATTGAAATTCAATGCCAAGGAGGCACCGTTCAAAGGAACCTTAAAAGCTTTGCAATGCAACATCACACAGGTTCAACATCATCAAACAATTTATAGTCGATCTGATTAATACTCTAGGAGGACAGCGTTAAAGTATGGAGCCTGTAAATAGCCAAAAAATACCCTAAAACTGCACATTCAATTCAAAATGTCTGACTTCCAGTTGGGTTTACAATTCAACAGGCTAGAAATGATACATCTGCCCCCTAAATTTTGTACAAATGGGGCTGCTTCATTGAAACATTGTAGGGGGGGCTATCGAGACAATTTTCTACTATCTCTGACAGAAGAGAGATATTCTGCAGTTCATCATCTCTTTTTAGGGCCAGATAACATTCTGAACTACTTTGGCTTTAGTTTCTTCTTTCCACTGTTCCAAACAGTTTTTTACAGTGCATTATAATTTTGTTGCCTGTGACTGATGTTAGGAAAGCAGCGTTTTTGTGAGACTGGATGAGTGCCTGGGCAGTTAGTCTCATCGCCAGCTGACAGAGGGGACTCTCGCTTGGATTTAAGCTGATTGAACATGAGTTCTCTCTTCTGAATGTTATCATCACTGGGTATCTGCCTCATTCTGCTCTACGTGCATTTGTTGGTGTTTCTCTGTGTAAAATGTATCTTCAGAATTAAGGCAGGGAAAGATTCTGTACATCTAAATGGGTATGATGACTGAGTGGACTACCATACAGCACAATGGGCTGATGACACTGTCAAATATTTGAAGGTGGATTTAAAGTGGAATCTGGAAATAATAGAAATATAATTGAATTAATTAGAATGTTTAAACTCTGTGATGTCGTCTCATGCTATGTTCAATTATATGATTATTTATGTTAAACTGGTATCTATTCTCCTGACATCTGGGGCGTTTCTGAAAAATCATGACATTAGTTTTCTTCATGTTTCCTGCCAGGGTCCAGTTCTGACAGGACTGTTCTGCTATGTCCAGCTGTTGCTATAGTCCTGGAGTATAGTTCAGTAGGAGACAGTAGGACAAGGTCATCAGCATAAAACAGAGCCTTCAGCTCTATCTAGGAGGGAGGACACACTAATCCAACTCAAAAGCAAGTTCATGTATATATTAAACAAATTATGTAGTTTTCAGCAGTCACTAGCGGTGTGGTTTTTAGATTACAACCAGGTGTGTGCTCATACTTGTGCTCAAACTCGAGCGAGCAAAATGCAACACACAGAGAGCAAAACGCGAGATACAGCTGCAGACAACATGCTGGAAACTCAAATAAACTCCCACTGCAATGTTACAGTAATATTTTTATCAGCTTGAGGTTGAACTAATTCATGCTCATTACATGATAATGGTATACTGTATGTCTGCGTTAGCTCACTTGCCGCTTTTCCGTAACTATCGTTATTTATTAATCTTTCACCAGAGGCTCAGCAATATGAGAACAGCAAAATTTATTGGATGATAACAAAACGGTTAGTGAGCTAGACTGAATATTCTATATGAGATTGTTGCCAAACTTTACAACAGTTAAGCTGATGATACACGGGGCAACTTTTTGAGCACTGCTGCTGGGCAATCTTGCTAGTGGCAAGTCCGACTATGTTTTGAACGGATAGCGGCGGTGCGGGTGGTGGAGTGGTGGGGGAAGGGGATTACAGTAGAAATCTTTACTCATTACCATTGACGGCAACGCACGATTGCTCTAAAAGTGTATCATTAGCTTTAAACTCAAGTGAGTAATGTTACTGTGGTGAATGGGTCTTCTGTCACTGTGTTGTTGTCCTGCCCCATTATGTTGCATTATTGTATATTATGTGGGTCATGTAAGTTACGGAGTCTAAGACTGTGGAGAAGGTGTGTACCTGAGTATCGCTAAAACAACAATAATTCAAAACTAACAGCAAGTTAGTCCGTTAGCTAGCAGTTCCTGCCTTGTTCATCACTGGCTAGTAAAAAAGTCGCTCCACATTTGGATAGTAATATAGGTCGCGTTGGCTGGTGAAGTAATGTGGAAAGCCATTCAGTATTTTGCACTGAAAAATGTCAGCAACTGGTCTGCGCTAGCCGGCAAGCCTTATCTAACTTGAGCCAGCTAAAGCACAAAATCACAATATATTTCACATGCTTTGCAGTAATGTTAGTTTACCTGTCCAATAGGACAAAGCCATCTCTGGGTTGTTTTTTTGTAGATTCCGATTCCTTCGCATAAAAAGCAGAATAGTAATAGTAACATAGAAAACAGGCGTGTGGTTCATTTTTAAGTGAGGTTAGAGCCCTTGACAAAAGGGCAGTAAAAAAGTGATCTATTCATAAGTGTTTTAATTGAAAAACTATATATAGTCCCTTTAAAGAAAGTCAGACTTTAGATGCAGCCCTGATGAACACCATTCTAATAAGTGAAGAATTCAGTTTGTTTGTCTCCAATTTTAACAGCACAGCTGTTACAGTGATTTAACCAGATTGTCTACCAGTCCGTAATAAAGCCCTTCATGATAAACAAAGTCGAAAGCTTTATTAAAATCAATAAAATAAGTTAATATCTTACCATGTTTGAGCATTTTTGTTTTAATGTTGTCCAGACCCCAAGCTTTCCTGAAGTGATTTTTTCCTTGTCGTCACTACAATTGGGAGATTGAGAAGATTCTCTCCCTCTCCATCCCCAACAATACACATTTGTTTTCAAAACAATGATAACTACGAAGAATTGTTAACAGTATGGCCATTCTGTAATCTTAACTCTTAAAAGGCCATGTATTACCAACAACACATACATTTAAGTCTCTTGCCATGGATACCTTCAGCCGGCCACAGCGCTGTGTGTAGGTGAGTTGTTAGTTATACAGTGCAGTACTGCAGTATCATGCAGTAGTTTGAGAGAGAGATATTGCATTATATGAACAACACAATGATTTTATGATGCTATTTCTCCTTCAATCAAGTGGTGTAGAGATCTCCAACTCAATACTCAATAAACTACAGTTCAGCCCAGTCCAGTAGTCCATAGTTATTGTAATACCGGCTGGCTGTGTTTATTCTGTTGGTTGAGTGTCTTGCAGGACCTTCAGCTGGTCCTCAATGGTCTTTAGTTTCTGCTGTAAAGCTGACACCTGAACACAAAGGAGAAGGAAGAAACACAAGGAAGGGTTAAAAATATTAATCACATGAAAATTTTCACACATGGTTGTCTTAATTGTATGCTAAATGCTGACTGCTACTAATCACACCACTATGTCACTTTGCTTGAGACGGTATTGCAGTATCAGTTCATGTACAACACTAGTTGTGGGTACTATTATGTGTAATGTCATTGCCAGTAAGTCTTATTTTATTTTATATACTTATTTAATATATCTATGTCAATTTACCTCAACCTTTGTGCTGCTGTAACACCTGAATTTCCCCTATGGGGGATCAAAAAGAATCATTGGGAAGTTAGACAACCATGTGGTACAGTACTAATGGATACTATTAAATAAATAAGACATAAATAATTATGATTAGAATTAGAATCTAAAAATACAGAAAAACTAAGTAATGAATAAATTTTAAAAAGTATTAAAAGAAACTATTTCAGAATTAAAAGAATTATGGTCAAATGGTATTTTATATTAATAACAGACCCTTCCAAATTTAACACTTTAAGATCTTTTAATGTAACTGGATTAGGCGGACAGAATCTGTAGGCAAGGGAAAAGGTTTTGGTATTGGTTCTGCTTTCCATTTGTATTCCAAATAGTATTGACCGATCTCGTATGAGCGGGCTATGGTTGCATGCAGCTAAACGATCTGTGTGGAGAGCAAAAGAGGCGGAACCCATTGTCTGAAATGCAATCTCGCAACCCAGTGGCTATCGTCAGATGTCAATTTAACTTTTTTCAATCTTATAACCCTACAGATTTGCTTTTTATTATCCTATTATTAGATTGTAACAGCGCACGGTAGAGGAAGTCTTGGTCCGGATAGCCACTGTATGGATATCCGCTGCAGTTACACCTGTCAATACTGGCATGTAGATGTCTTCAGGCTGAGACTCTTATCTAACAGGTTGGTAAAGGTTTGGCCAAGTACACTCAAGTTACAAACAACTTCCTCTCTCATGGCGAAGCCTTGCTACTGCCCAAACTTTAAGTCAATCAGATTAATTCTCTAGAAAGAGTTTGTTAAAGATATGGAATCTGTAAATTGCAAAAAAATTACCAATAAATTCACAAAATGTCCAACTTCCTGTTCTGATTAGGGTATGACTTCAAGAGGCTCTTTTAAGTCTTGGGGTGATACAACAAAATACATCTTGTAAATCTGGGTGAAAAGTGCCACAGGGCTGCTCTGTAGGGGGAACTGGCGAGCCATTTCACTAGAACCGTATCACACTCAAATCTTTGTTATTTCTGACGTGTGTACAATGTTTCCTGAGTTTTTTAGCACCTTAAGCCACTTAAAAATGTTATTCAATTGGGGGGAAAAGAAAATATTTCTTGCAATACAATAGGGATGTTGCAGCGATCGCTGCTCTGGCCCTCTGTGCCTCACTGCCCACTGCTCACCTTACTGTCCGTCTGCTGCCTGACATGAGCAGGAACTTTGGTCAGGTAGTCTGGAGATTGGACTCTGCAGAGGATTTCCTCTAGCTTTGGAACAAGCTTTTCTCTGCTCTGGGAGAGCTGCAGGATCTGTTTCTCAATGTTCATCCCACTCTGAAAGAGGAAATCATATAATACATTCCATGTCATACCAGTTTGCATTTTGATTTTGAAATGTAGGAAGAACATTGCAAATTCAATGCTACAATTTCACATTCAATTTCTAATATGGTAGGGAAAATTATTTGTCAATAATTTTCATCGTAAAGATCCAGTGTGTATTATTTCTGAGGATTTATTGCCAGAAATGCAATATAATATCCATAACTATGTTTTCAGTGGTCCCTTTAATTTTTTCTGAATTCTGTGTTAAGTACATTTTGTCATCAGAGTGTGTAATCATGTGGTGGATAAATAAAATGTCAACAATTCAAGAAGAAAACATTACAAATGGAATAATATCAATGAATTTGATGTATCATGCAAATATGCATATAGAAATATTCAAATGTATGTGCAATTATTTATGGGGACAATTCACAATGTTTGCAATTGTTGCAAAACATGCATTGTGAACTTTCCCCTATCAAATAAGTTATTACTTGACAGCCTCCATATGCTGCTGAACACATGGTATAAGTGGGTCTGATGGAGGCTACTCTCACATGGGAAAAAAACCTTCATGTTTACAAAGCCTGACTGGACGGTGTGTGGGTGTACAGCTGATGATACATGGTGCAACTTTTAGAGCAATGGTGCTGGGCAATGTTGCCGTCAATGTTAATGAGTAAAGATTACTACCGTAATCCCCTTCTGCCATCACTCCACCACCCACTCCGCCCGCGCCCGTTCAAAACATAGTCAGACTTGCCATCAGCAAGATTGCCCAGCAACATTGCTCAGAAAGTTACCCCCGTGTATCATCAGCTTAAGTGTGTGTGTGTGTGTGTGGAGGAGCTGTTGAGGCCTGCACTCGCTGAAACACAGACACAGAGAGGACAGAAGCAGCGTAGGTAAACACTAGAACAACGTTGCGCGACCTAAGTTCAAATGAAATGAACTTGGCTCGTTACAACGAGCGAGAAGCAAAGTTGCCTGCGTGTGTGTGTATTTGTGTGTCTGAAAAAGGTTTATCTTGTGCATCTCCCTTGGGGGTTTTTTGTTTTGTTTTTTAATATAGCCTGATAATATATTCTTTGTAACTCTTTAGAGAAGAGTGGAGGTTGTTTTGGGTGGAGGTGGGGGGGGCACTGGATTTGTTGGGGGGCATGATATTACAGTCGCAAGGAAGATGATACAGTGGGTACGGAAAGTATTCAGACCCCTTTAAATTTTTCACTCTTTGTTTCATTGCAGCCATTTTCCAAAAATCAAAAAAGTTCATTTTATTTCTCAGTAATGTACACTCAGCACCCCATCTTGACAGAAAAAAACAGAAATGTAGAAATTTTTGCAAATTTATTAAAAAAGAAAAACTGAAATATCACATGGTCATAAGTATTCAGACCCTTTGCCGTGACACTCATATTTAACTCGGGTGCTGTCTATTTCTTCTGATCATCCTTGAGATGGTTCTACACCTTCATTTGAGTCCAGCTGTGTTTGATTATACTGATTGGACTTGATTAGGAAAGCCATACACCTGTCTATATAAGACCTTACAGCTCACAGTGCATGTCAGAGCAAATGAGAATCATGAGGTCAAAGGAACTGCCTGAAGAGCTCAGAGACAGAATTGTGCCTCTCCTCAGTGCAAGACACATGAAAGCCCGCATGGAGTTTGCTAAAAAACACCTGAAGGACTCCAAGATGGTGATAAATAAGATCCTCTGGTCTGATGAGACCAAGATAGAACTTTTTGGCCTTAATTCTAAGCGGTATGTGTGGAGAAAACCAGGCACTGCTCATCACCTGTCCAATACAGTCTCAACAGTGAAGCATGGTGGTGGCAGCATCATGCTGTGGGGGTGTTTTTCAGCTGCAGGGACAGGACGACTGGTTGCAATCGAGGGAAAGATGAATGCGGCCAAGTACAGGGATATCCTGGACGAAAACCTTTTCCAGAGTGCTCTGGACCTCAGACTGGGCCGAAGGTTTACCTTCCAACAAGACAATGAGCCTAAGCACACCGCTAAAATAACGAAGGAGTGGCTTCACAACAACTCCGTGGCTGTTCTTGAATGGCCCAGCCAGAGCCCTGACTTAAACCCAATTGAGCATCTCTGGAGAGACCTGAAAATGGCTGTCCACCAACGTTTACCATCCAACCTGACAGAACTGGAGAGGATCTGCAAGGAGGAATGGCAGAGGATACCCAAATCCAGATGTGAAAAACTTGTTGCATCTTTCCCAAAACGACTCATGGCTGTATTAGATCAAAGGGTGCTTCTACTAAATACTGAGCAAAGCGTCTGAATACTTATGACCATGTGAGTCCATCTGAGTGTACATTACTGAGAAATAAAATGAACTTTTTTGATTTTTGGAAAATGACTGCAATGAAACCAAGAGTGAAAAATTTAAAGGGGTCTGAATACTTTCCGTACCCACTGTACATACCTGAACGTGAAGATGTAGCTGACATGTGTGGTCTACCACACCGATGAGGCTTCCTTTAGGTGGAGGAGTGACGTGGACAGAGAGGAGGTTGTCTGCTCTATGAGGACTGTAGATATGGAGGCTAGAGATCCGGCTCAAAGTACAAACAGCTGAGCTAAAGCGAAGGAGAACTTCGGCCTGGCTTGGTGAACATTCTGCCCACACTGAAAAACACAACATACACGCAACATGGAAGTAAACCACTTTTTCCACATGTTAAGTAAGCAATCCATTCATTTATTTTAAACCAAAAACGTAACGTAATGTATTTTGCTATTTGGTTTAAATCTAGCATTCATCCATGAAGTGCTATTTTTGGTAAATAAATGGTTGTTTTCAATTGTTAAATTGCTTACTTGTAGGTTTTTCTTTGGTCATGCCACACTGGGCTCGTAGTGAGCGGGTCACTCGGATCACTTCCTGGACCAGCAGGAAATCTCTTTCCTCTTCAGGGAAATGCCAGTGTACCTGGCAGGATGGGGAGGTTACAAAAACACAGCTGCTAAAATAAATGGAAAGTTGAGAATCCTTTAAAAATAACAGAACACATTTAGGAGTTAAAGCATGTATGATCATGATTCACGTTAACATGAACATGTGCTTTGGGGAAGTGGCTTTGGAGAGAGGCCTGGAGACAGGGGTGGGATTATTTCAGTTAAATACTTTCAAAATTTAGCTGTTTTGGGGACCCCTGGAGATCTGGCGCAGTTACCAGCATTGTCCAGTTGGCACATCACTGTCACAGCTCCAGTGACCCCCTACTGGGTGGTCTGTCTGCACTGTCTGCTTTTGTTTACAAAACCCATTTCCAGAAAATTTGGGATATTTTCCAAAATGCAATAAAAATGAAATCAGTGATTTGTTCATTGATTTGAACATTTATTTAACTAACAAAAGTACAAAGAAAAGATCTTCAATAGTTTTACTGACCAGCGTAATTGTATTTTGTAAATATAAACAAAGTTAGAATAAAATAAGATTGAAGAGTGCACAGAATATTCAAGTAACACCTGTTGGGAAGACTCCACAATAAGCAGGCTAACTGGTAACAGTGAGGTGTCATGATTGGATATAAAAGTAGCCACCAAAGGCTCAGTCTTTGCAAGTAAAGATGGGCCAGGGCTCACCCCTTTGTGCTAACATTCGTGAGAAAATGGTACAACATGTCAGTTGTCAGTTCAAAGGGAACGTTTCTCAACGCAGGATTGCAGAGAATTTCAGCCTTTCAAAACCAGCAGTTCATAATATTGTGAAAAGTTTCAGAGAATTTGGAGACATCTCAGTGCGTAAAGGGCAAGGTCGGAACCACTGTTCAGTGCGTCACTTTTGAGCCCTCAGGCGGCACTGCCTTAAGCAAGGATTGTACTTTCCGTGTACGTGAGGGTCCACGAGACGAAAAAATCGTCATTAAAGGGGATATGCGTAGGCTCTGCGTTTTTTATGATCTTCATGCGCCAACTACGCTACCAGGGAACTAACCAATCTACTGCACATGTGTGGAACAAGTCCGTCAAGCTGACTCCAGAAAGTAATATAAACAGAAGTAGTCCGCATCCGTGGGGTCTGCAGCTGTCTATGTGCGCAACACCTATTGTTGGATCTGTGTGTGCCGTCAGTCGGTGTCAGTCGGATGGTGTCTTTAGAGTTTGACATGTCCAGTCGGGCAGCATGTTAAAGCTGTAATGCCTAGTGTCTATACATCTACAGCTGCTTTTATCTGGATCAAACAGTCATAACATTCAAATACGAATGACAGACTGTAGTCTTTAATTAACATGTTTCACAGCTGGGTTAGGCTATAAATAAAATAAAGAAAGTGTCTCTCTTGCAATTATACATATGACATTAGTTTTGCTTGCTCTGTGCCAACCAATCCACCTTTTTAGCTGTTGCAATGGCCAATACAGCCCATATAACCAATACAGTTTTGCACTTGCCAAAAAACTGGTTCCATCTCACTACTTGTGACTAAAAGGATCTCAAAATGAATCGATTTCAGTTATAAGCGTTATATTTTAGTTGAGGCTAATTATAGCTCACCCAGTCCTTTCAACCTGTTGAAATACCTTTAAAAGGGCCAATACAACCAGTAACAGGTAGTTTTCCACTTTCCAAAAAGTGCAGCCTCGACCCTGTGACTTAAATAAGAAAAAATAGGCAACAAAAGTCTGTCTGGTCAGTTGCTGTCTGGGCAGAGTGGACTGACAGTTGGTTTTCTGAACATTCTAAAGACTGAAACATCTACTGCCAACTTTAGAATGTTGGTGTTAGTTGGGCGCTGTCTGAGCAGTGTGCAGGCAGCTTTAGAAACCATCATGCTTCTGAGACAAATAAAGCCACATGGGCTCGGGTGTATCAGAAAACCATTGTCTATTAACACAGTCCACCATTGCATCCAGAAATGCAACCTGAAACTGTATTATGCAAAGAGGAAGCCATACATCAATTTTATGCAGAAACGCTGCAGAGTTCTCCGGGCCCAACATCCTCTCAGATGGACAAAAAGACAGTGGTACTGTGTGCTGTGGTCAGATGATTCCACATTTCAGCTTGTTTTTGGGAAAAATGGGTGTCAAGTTCTCCATACCAACAATGAAAAAGACCATCTAGATTAGGGCTGTGCGATCTGACGATATCTATCGTTTGACAATGAAAAAACGTCTATCGTTTAAAATTATGCTTTATCGTTTATTATGTTGTGTCGCAAATTCCACACTCCACGCTTTGCACCGCAGTGAAGTTAATTTTAAGTTGGAGATATGACTAAAAAACTAATATCCAATAATAATATTCATAAAAAAGGTGTTGGAAACTTTCCTCAGAGAATTTAGGCGTTTCTTAAAATAAGGGGGAAAAGAATATCGGACGATATATCGGCTATCAGATTTTTCAAATATCGAAATCAGTATCGGACTTAAAAATCTCATATCGGTCGGGCTGTAGTTCAATCACACCTGAGTAATGCTGAACCTTTAAAAGGAGAGAGCACATATCGCTCTCCACCTCCGCTGATAGCATCTGCTGCAGGAGGTAACATACTTAAATACAGATCAGTCACAACTGCACATATACACGCTCACACACCACACAAACATCTGTATACAGACACATCTGTAATCCAGAGGTGCTTTGTGTATTGCGTTGTAATAACAGCTGGTTGTGATGGCCAGTGTGCTGATTCACCCTTCGCTGTCTGTCTATAAATGTACAACGGTGTTTATTATTAGCATTCATACGCAAGAAAACCCCTCTTGAGACTGTTTTTCATGTTTGATTATTGGTCCCTGATTACGGGGAAGTACCTGGTTATCTATTAATCTTTATTAATAATTTCATAATACTAATAGCTGTATTAATATTGTCTTTGATTTGTTGCTGATAATCAAACCTGCCCCTACCAGATCCCAACACAGGACACTTGTGCAAAAAGAGGTTCTTAATCCAAATGAGTCATTTACTCCTGGTCAAATAAAGGTTAAAAATTAAAATAAGGGAAAGCATAATAGATCCCCTTTAGTAGTTGTAGTCCTACCAGCTGAGAGGAGTGGGGGTACCGCTGTAAAGACAGGCTGGTCTGGGCAGCAGCTTCAGGTCTAAATGGCTGGAGTCTCTGCCACAGCTCCTCAGTGATGAAGGGCATGAAGGGGGACAGCAGGGCCAGAGAAGTGGACACACAGTGATAGAGGACACTGCTGGCCACCTGCCTTACTGTGTTAGTCTGGACCACTGCCACCTCATCCTGCTGGATCAGCACAGGCTTCAGATACTCCTACAGGATACCCATACAAACAGAATAAAATGACACTGGTTATATTTCCATAATGGCATAACTACTGTGTGCTCAACTCAAACACACTTTACATTAATCTGTTAACATCCAACTTAACAAACAAACCTTTCTTTTTTTAAACTTTTTTAAATATATCACGTGAGTGATCCCTGCTAATACAAAGGAAACAAGTACTGATCTCAATTCAGGTATGTCCTTTTATTGATAACATCAAAGAATGCCACACACTTTCATAATGTTATATAAAAACTAATGTTCCTCACCATGTAGACATCACACATGCTGTGTACCCAGAAGGAGTACAGGGCAGATGTGACTGTATGCAGTTCGTAAGATTCAAAGGCCTGCTCACAGTGTACTACTGTGCTGTAGAGTCTGGAGCAGATCCACCGGTCCATGCTGCTCAGGGGAGTCGTCTGAATTTTGGAAAAGGGAAAAACTGTTGCTTAAGCTACATTACAGAGCCCTCTACAAAAAATCATGTTTTATGAAACTACATCTCAAAACGGAGCTTCCGCTGGGCTCCCTTCATTGTGTCACAGTAGATTTGTCAATTTCAACGTCAACACCTTTGGTTGGAACCAGTGTCTGTTTGAGTTACAGATTCTTCTTTTTTTTTTGTTACCAGTTCAGTTTGAAGTGACATGACTCAAAACATGGGTAGACAAATTAAAGTCTAAGCAAAAATGGGCACGGCCTATATCACAAGATGCAGCTCAGTTCTGGGAATGTGTGACTTACTATGTAGGATCAATGCTCATACCTTGATTATAGTGCCAACTCAACGCACATCTCACATCTCCACGCTGGTGACTGTATTTCTTGAGGAAGCTTAAGAAGGCCAAATTCCCATGCCAAGTTCTTGTCAGCTTTTACAGAGGAGCAATAGAAAGCATCCTGACTGGAAACATCACTAACTGGCATGGGATGTGCACGGCCCAGGAACGGAGGGCTCTGCAGCAGGTGATTGAAACTGCTCTGAAGATCATTGGTACCCATCTCTAGAGCATCAGTGATATCGGTGAGGTGAGGTGCCTACGCAGAGCCCAAAGAATCCTAAAGGACAGTACCCACCCAGCCACAGACTGTTCACCCTGCTGCCTTCTGGGAAGAGATATAGAAGTTTCTGCTGCCGCACGACCAGACTGCAGAGCAGCTTTTTCCCCCAAACTATCAGACTCTAAAACTCTTATTCATCCTCAGCACTGCTCCACTGATGATAGTTTATTCCTGTTTACCATTTTTCATAATTGATTCTTTATTAATGTATATTGTCTGCTATGTAGCAGAAGGGAGTTAGAAACTCAATTTCACTTTATAACTTGTTATATTGTGACAATAAACCTACCTACCAACTGCTGGTGAATTTTGGCATCTGCCACATGTGCACCATTCTATACCACCAGAATTGGTGATAATTAGATGGACTGATGTGGAGATATGATATGACTTAATTTTTAATGCCGTCTAGTGGCGGGGGCCTTGGAAGGTACTGTGCAACGTTTCGTGTTAAAACGACACTTTCTGTGTTGACTGTAACCTACAGGAAGTCGTTTCTTTATAACAATTTCGTGCAGGAACCCTAAAAATAATTAAAAGTCCAGTGGGTGGGTTCTTTGCTGTACCTCGTCCAGTTTTCCCACTGGTGTTGTGTTGTCACCCAGAACTCCCAGTGTGAATCTCAGCGTCTGCCACATTTTATTACAGAAGTGTCTGCAGCTCAGGACCTGAGAGATGGACAGACTGATGTCTTCTCCTGAGAGAGAGGCAGAAAAAAATACAGTGTGCTTGTACAGGGTCCAAAATTAACTTTTTGATGAAAACAAAAAAAAATGACGGGCTAAAATATGTTTCAACTAGCCATAAAACTGTATAAGATCGGGCTCTGTTTGAAACAGAATCGCTTTCTTACTACTGTAATAGGTGACTCAGAAGGAATCACTTTCGAGTGAAGTCATCTCTATGAACATTAGTTACGAACAGTCTTTTAGGGCAGCATTTACAGTTACGTGTGACGTCAGCAACCTGTCTTGCCTCTCTTCAGTTAGTCACTATCCTTAGCGTCAGCTAGTTAGCTAGCAGAAGCCTCTGAAATCAGACGAAACAAACTTGGTTGGTTACAGTCATGGGCTAATATGATAGTTCAGTGTTTAGTTCTTGCCAATGTTTCAAAAAATTGAAGCAAAAAAACTACTAAAAATATTTGTAGAAGAATTTCAGCTTGTTTGTCTGCCATCTTTTCCATTTTTCATGAGCTACCGCTGGCGCACAGACTGACTGTTACAGGGGCAGGATGAAGGCATCTTACGAGACAGGAAAAGATCATTCAATCCAGTTTGAACCACACTTGATGCCTCACTGTCCTGTGAGACACCTATTGAGACAGCATTTTTACTCATTTCGAACACAGCTATGATGTACAGTGACGGACAAAAATACACTCATAGGCCATAGCAATGGTTACACCTCTTATTAAAAGAATTGGGCAGCTGATGGTGGCACTGTCTCCAGGCTGGCCAGAGGCAGCGGCATGAACAGTTCGCAGGACTGGTTGGGAAGTCCAGCGATGGCTTGCCTCTCTATGGGGCACCTGAGGCTGCCGTCGTCTGGACCACTGAGGAATCTCTGTAGCGAAATATCCAGAGAGCCCGCCAGAAAAGCCATGTTGCTCGCTATCGCCAGCTTCTGGCTGTTGTAGCAGTGATCAAATGGAATGAATCAACATACTGTAATCCGTCCATCCATTCACATGCGCACATTCCTGGTGGATTACTTGGTACTGTGAACGATGTATTTCTACAGTTTACCTTGAAATGAAAGATAAAATAGTTGCCACTGTGATAACTTTCCAGAGTTTAAAAATCCTGTGTTTTAGTTTCTGATAAGCCCCTCAACTGGACTAACTGAATCGTATTCATTATCACATCATATTTGCTGAACACATTCATTATTCCATGAGAGTAAATCCTTCCAGGCACAAGCATGGGAAAGTGTAGGAGCACAGGAACAAGTGACATTCTTGCAGTGCAGTGCAGCTGCATTTCTTTGTTGCAAAATGAAATAAACTAAAAACAGCTCAACTTTTAAGAAGATACAGAACAAATCACCCACCAAACTGTAACGGGCAACAAGTGATTGAAAAGATCTGTGAAAAACAATCTGTAGTCCTGTCACTTTTTCACTCTAGTCCATCACAACTCATCTCTCTGATTCTAGTTAAAGTTGCACTGCATCTTCTTTTCCCTGAACACTGTTTCACATGCACACAGCACCACACATTCATTCACTCTTGACAAATGGCATTCATTGTCAGATAAAGTGAGCAGAGGTAAGTCACTCACCCTGCATCTTGTGAGAGCAAAGGGCAAATCTCAGAGCATCAGTCCCACACTCAGGAATCCCTTTAGGGAAGTCTCTTCTCTGTGAGGAAGCATATGGAGCAGAAAGATAAGAGAGGAAGTAATGAGTGTGCTCAGTCAGCCAGAAAGAAACAGATAGGAGAGAGGGGAGATGACCTGTGCTTCCATGGCAACCAGATGCTCCCTGGGATCAAGGTTCCCCTTCTTGACTTTCTCTTGAAGTCTCTGCGAGGAAAAAGAAAAACAAGGGAGAAAGAGTTTCCAAACAAAATGTCTTTTGAGGGAACAGATGGCTGTCTCCGAAGGCTAAATCCAACTACCATCAGCTGTTCTTCACTTCACCACAGAAAAACCTTATCAGTTCTCCGGCAATACTTCTCACATTCCAGACAATATTTGATGACTTTTCATCAACTCCTTCTGAGTGTGGAAATCATACTTTTTTTTGTGGTAATCCAGTGGTTTCATGCAAAATAAAAACAAAATAGCGTCTCACAAAAGCAGTTGTTTGCTTTGCTTTACTTTGAAAACTATTAAGTTTTGTGGTTTGAATTGAGGTAGGTCAACAAACATGAGATTAAAAATAAAAGAAATACAATATTATTAACAGATTTACAAATAAATATTCATTCGAATGACTATGCTATAAATAAAGTTTTCAGTTTCTGTTTACTACTGATAGTGGAAGAATTACAATGTTTTTCTTTTTCTCTTTCAAAAATAGGAAGCAGACAGGATATGAAAGGGTATATTGGAAATGTGGTATTAAAAAACCCCACTACACATTGATAGCAAAAAGTTGTACTGTATATTGATGGAGATGCTGTTCTATTTCCATAAATTTCCACTTTACTACTTAACTGGGGTGCTTGGGTGGGCTCAGATTATAATATTTCAGAGACCACTTTAAAGTGTGAATGATATCAGCAAGTCTTTAACAGTAATTTGCCTCCTGGACCAAGCTCACATGCTACCTACCTCTAGAGAGACTCCATGTATAACATCTAATGGATCGATGACATTTCCCAGAGATTTACTCATTTTCCTGCCATGTTTATCTCTCACCAGAGAGTGAAGTAGCACCTGAGAGGCACAATGGGAACAGGAACAGGAGAGAGAAAAACAACAGGATGGGCTTACACTGTATTCATCAGTAGTGTTTGTATGAATACTTATCTTTTGTTTGTTTCTCATTATACTTATAAGTACCTGTTTAAAAGGCAGCTTTCCAGTTAGCTCTGTGCCCAGCATCACCATCCTTGCCACCCAGAAGAAGATAAGGTCACTACCCGTCTCCAGAATGGAATTGGGGTAGAAGCGTTGAAGGTCAGTGGTCTGTAGGAAGTGAGGGTGAGATTAAAATACAAAGGTACCAGTATTAATTCAATCAAACATTTATTTAAGCTTCAAAAATAATTGAGGTGTCAAGTTCAGAATAAACCCGTGGGACTTGAAGCCTAAGCCATTAAGTATTAATTTAAGGCTGACAAGTGGATCTTGAAGAGGACTAAAAGAAAGTTGTCAGTTCTCAACAGCAAGTTGTACAGAGTCAGAAAAACAATACAGAATAGCGTGTGTCTGTGTAAAGATGGACATTACAGTCAAAGAAGAGTAATATTATTAATATAAATTGAACAAGACAGGACCCAGAATTGATCCATGTGGAACACCTTTTGTTACTGATAAAACATCTGATTGGATATTTCTAGCTCTGACACTGAAATCTTTCATAAAAATAATTCTGAAACCATCTACAAGCCACTAAATTTAAGTCAATGACGTCAATGCTTCCTTTTGTCCATACAAGACACAATATCGTTTACAATGAATGTAACAGCAGAGAAGGTACAATACATAGGTCTGATACCAGAATGGTGAGCGCACAAAAGAAGAATATTTGGGAGAAATACTTCGAGTTGGTTATTCATATACTGAGGACTGTGGAGGCTGTTGGAGGAAGTGTGGTACCTGCTCAGGCCAGCCAAGCATGGCGAAGGGAAACAGTCCAGAGGAGAACCATGTGTCCAGGACATCAGGGTCTGACATAGGGAATGTGCAGAGATGTAAGCAGAAAGGAAAAAGGTGTACATTTACATAAATGCCAATTACACCAGAGCAGCACTACAATGACAAACCTATTAATGTAGTGGCAGGCTTTTAATAATTAGTTTTTTAACCTATTTCATGAAGTTGGTTTTGCCTCTCATTTTGTTGTTGTAATAGTATGAGCAGCAAAAGTAGAAGTAGTCTGACCGATTACTGATACTGGTATTGATTTTAGGTGGTTATACAGTAATGAAAACATACTTATTCTGCAAATAGAGACCCTTTATCTTACACACTGAACGTTTACATTTGGTTGTTTTGATTAAATTTGATAATTATAAAAAAATCTGCATTGAGCAGGACATACTTCCAACTTTTTTCCAACAGTCCAACTTTTTTGTGTGTCGAGTGCATATAAGGTTTTTGAATGGGCTATATGGGAGTTCCAGGCCAAAACAGGTTGATTATGCCACCACCTGCTGGATGACATGTATAATTTTTGACGCCTGCCATGTGTACAGAATTCTATCCCACCTGCATATGGGACTCACAGACTATGAGGAATTTGAAAAAGTAGGTTTCGCACATTTCGCAATTTGCTAAATCACAGATTCGTGGCTTTTCTGCATCAATTTATAGTGGGCATGTCTTTAGTTACGTATAGGGAAACAAAATTCTGATGGCAGGTGACAATTTCAAATATAAAAGTATAATGGAATGCAGTAAGGTTCACAGGCATTCTGTATTGCTTTCAGATATGTATTCTCTGGTAGATCGGCTTTTCTCACATAATATCATCCCTGCGGAGTCAGCACACACGCAGGCATTGACTGAAGTAACATTTTTAAATGTGCATGTGGCACCTATTCACGTCAAAAATAAAAAATTAATTTTGATTCATCAACCCCTGGACTTTAAAGGTTCAGTGTGTACGTTTTAGAAGCATCTTGAGGTGAACCAACGGCAATTCGAAATCTCTTCCACACATCTGCATCATCAGATAATAAGAATAAAGTCATAATATTTTAACAAAAGCTACCTGCCCTATACTCTGCTGTACACTGACCTATGTTCTTGCTCTGCTGATATCTGCTTCAGACTGTCTGACAGATGTAGAACCCTGCTTGGGACTGTACTGGATACTGTACAGCCACGCATGCTGCCTTGCAAGGCCAGTGTCGAGTAAGATTTTCATCAGCAGAGCAAGTTAAGAGGTTAAAAAGAGGTAGGTCACCCTGAGTCAAATTGATGGCTTCCGGCTTCACTCTATATTTGACAGCAGCTCTCTGTCGGGCCTCATCCTCGCTCCGTCCCCAAACCCACTGCTCCTACCACACACACACACACACACACACACACACACACACACACACACACACACACACACACACACACACACACACACACACACACACACACACACACACACACACACACACACACATTGAATTGCATTCCAACAATGCGAAAACACATAAATCTAATATTTCAAAACATACAAATATCCACAGACACAACCTCTTGTTTTTCAGTAAAATGAGGAAGCTCCACTCGGTAAGCAGGGATCTGATGACCCCACCAAAGCTGCCTGGAAATGCACCAATCACTGTCAAGCAAACAGAGGTACATTGTTGGTGTAACCCATCTGTTATAACAAGAGCTCATTCATTATCAGAGAGGGGTAATGTCACCCACATGTCATACCAGTAACAACCATTGTTTGTCCTCACACCACTTTTCAAATACAAGAATTTTGTCCAAGTCAAAGGTCAGGACAGCCTACCTGATGTTGGACAGCCAATTCTTCCATTTCTTGGTGTAGAAATGAGGAATGATTTCCAGCTGTCCGTCTTCCACAACCTGACAGGGAAAGAAATACTCAAATTTGAGTGTTTACTAAATGCTTTCAAGAAGTTCAATGATGAGATAAGATCACTTGACTGCTTAATTCTTCACTATGTTTTCGTATTGAAACCTGACATGGTTACTTATAAACATGTGATGCCACTTGTACTACAAATTAAACCATTAATACATAAGGGTTGACCTAAATATCTATATCTCACAGCCACAAACTTACCTGTATAGCTTTTTTAGCCATTTCATCACAGCGGACAAACCACTGCTTCTTTAGAAGAGGTTCAATGACATCTCCAGAGCGGCTGAGAAAAAAACATGGGGATGAGAGAAAACACAAAAATTGCCACATTACATTGCAGTCTCTATTGTTTCAGAAGGATGAAGGAAAGCAAGCAAGATGCACTGATTTATGCAATGTTCTGCAGAGTGATAGTGCACTTAAAGTTCTTCTTCAGGTGATGCCTGTGGGACTGCAGGTCAGACTTGCTCTGCCAGACAAACGTCATTTCTTCATTGATACCTTCCGTATCAAAGCATGTATTGAAACACATTAGTTAGAGGAGGTTTACCGTATGTTGGATATCAGTTACTTACTAAGAAGTCTAAAGTTTCCGCTTTTACGTGCTGTCAGTCATTTCTTTGAACAGCTGCTTTTGCGCTCACATTTATCACCCTCAATGCAGAACAAAACCTCTACATGTCCTGTTTTTAATAACACTGTGACTTAATATAGCTGTAAATTTGTTAGAGCAGTTATTGTTACATAGCCACATACTATGTGGGAGTTACTGGCCAAAACATGTTCACCTTTATTATAGCGCCACTTGCTGGTTGACATGTGACATTTTTTGTATCTGAGGTGTGTCCAGGGGTCTATACTACCCCTTTGAATTTCACTTACATAAAGTTTACTGTTGGCTGCAGTATGGCTTTTACCATCGGATGAATAAAAATAAAATCTGAGCAGTAGCGTGACTCCCACCTTGGGCTTGGACCCCTAGTATCATAACACATAGGAAAGTATGATGATATTGGGTTTTGCATATTAATGATAGTATCATAAAAGAATTACAAATTCAAATTCTATGTAAACTGTTGCTGTATTGTTGCGCTTTATGCACTAACCCTACTGAAAATCATGTAATTTCCCTGAAAGAGATGATAGATAATGTTGTATTTTCATCTTTATTATGAGCTCAGTGCTTTACTTTATTTATGTTCTTTACTAGTGTCTATTTGGATAATATTAACTCTGCTGTTGTTGTGTTATCGGCCGCTTATAGATGTTACTTGTAGGAAAGAAGGCAACAACTTTTCAGTGTGGGCTGTGTTGTGTATCATTAACAGCAATCAGAGTAAATTAAGTTTAAATTAAACAGTGCTGCTTTGTAACTTTGTATCAAGGAGCAGGAGCAGAGACACAGATGCACACAGGAAGTCAGTCTAGCTCAGATAAGTCCAGTGTTTTGTGTATTCATCTACCTGCAGATGGGTAAAATCATGGCGTGATTCTTCTTTCCTCTGAAGAGCTTCTTCTCAACCAGGGCATCCACAACAAGCTGTCTGGCATCAAAACGCTTCACTCCCTTATAAGAGACAAAAGTGACACATAATGATGACAATAAATCTTCATATTTTTGGCTCTGTACGCCACCAGGATTTGAAATGAAACAACTGATTCAACTGAAGTGCAGACTTTCAGCTTTGATTCAATAGGTTGAACAAAAATAGTACAAAAAGTTTAGGAATTGCAAATATTTTTATACACACCCCGCTTATTTCACCAAAAATGTTTTGTTCGTGGGTCTTACTGCCTTAAGTTTTGTCTTCAGCAAGTGCAATTTATGAGAAATTGAGATCAGGTGACTTTCACAGTATGTTTTAGGTCACTGTCCATCTTGAAAGTGAAGTGAATCTGGGCAGACAATACTGTACATCCCTATATACTTCAGTATTCAGCAGGCTGCTTCTGTCACATCATCAACTAACACTAGTGACCCAGTGCCAGGGGCAGCCATGCTTGCCCATGCCATCACACTGCCCCCACCGTGTTTTGCAGATTATGATGTATGCTTCAGCCATTCCAAACCTTCTCCATTACTTATTTTTTTCCCATCATTCTGGTACAGGTTAACCTAAGACTTATGTTAAGACTTATGAACCTTGTGGTGAAGTCTTCTCTTTATGGTAGACTTGGACAATGATCCTCCTGGGGAGTGTTCTCCACTTGGCTGGATGTTGTGAAGGGGTTTTTATTTACTATGAAAAGGATCCTACGACTATTCACCACTTTTGCCTTCCGTGAATGTCCAGGCCTTTTTGTGGGTTTTTTCTCAGAATGTATCATACTGTTGATTTGGCCCCTCCTAATTACTGCTATCTCTCTGCAGCCTATGGATGGCCTGTTTCACTAGCACTGAGAGCTCCTTTGACCACATGCTGTGGGTTCAAATGGCAGCTTCATTGCAGTGAAGCTTCATTGCAGCTTCCAGATGCAAATGCCACACATGGGATCAACTTTAGACCACACCTGTCCATGAAACAGCTTTAGAGTGAATTCTCTAATTGCTTTTGTTCCCTGGAAAAAGAGGAACTGAATGACACTGATTATCTTGTTACCATGGCACCTGTCAGTGGGTGCGATATACGTATATATGTCTATAGACATTAGACAGTGAACATTTTGTCCTCAAAGTTGATGTGTTAGAAGCAGGAAAAATGAGCGTCAGGATTTGAGTGAGGGCCAAATAGTGATGGCTAGATAATTGGGTCTAAGCATTTTCAAAACTGCAGCTCTTGTGGGGTGTTCCCGGTCTGTAGTGGTCAGTACCTATCAAAAGTGGTCCAAAGAAGAAAAGAGGTGAACCGGTAACAGGGTCATTGATGCATGTGGGGAACAAAGGAAGGTGTGGTCCGATCCAACAGACAAGCTACTGTAGTTCAATTTGCTGGAAGAAGTTGGCCTGGTCTGATGAATCATGTTTTCTTTTGCATCACGTGGATGGCTGGGTGTGTCGCTTACACGCTTACTGGCGAACACATGGCACCAGGATGCACTACAGGAAGAAGGCAAGCCAGCAGAGGCAGTGTGATGCTTTAGGCAATGTTCTGCTGGGAAACACTGGGTACTGCGATTCATGTAGATGTTACTTTGACACGTACCACCTACCATGCATGGTCTGTAACAAATGCACTTTAATGGAAACAGTATTCTCTGATAGCAGTAGGGCTGGACGATATGGCTAAAAATGTTATCACGATAAAGAGTTTCATATCTTTCGATATCGATAATTATCACGATAAATATAAATTTGTTCTTTATTTTGAGTTTAAAGCCTGATTGAAAGTTGAAGAAACCTGATGGTTTAATTAAGTCCTAAATCGTGTATGATTCAAGTGAATAAAATCAAACATTTATTGAATATTTATTTATTTATATTAACATTTGTTATATAGTTATTGAAATTGACAATTTTTGTTATTGTTTTATTGTCCAGCCCTAAATAGCAGTGGCCTCTTTCAGCAGGATAATGCTCCCTGCCACAGAACAACCTACCAGCACACCCTCAGAGGTCTAGTGGTGTCCGTGCCCCGACGGGTCAGGGCAGTTTTGAGGGTGAAACGAGGATCTACACAATATTAGGCAGGTAGTCAAAGTTGTGGCTGATAGGTGTATTAAAGAGCTGTAATTCCTAAACCCTCCCTCCAATTTGTATATGAATAACCTCAAATTAAAGCTGAGAGACTACACTTTAAGTCCATATTCATTATTTAACTGTAACTTCAATATGTTTTGATAAACAGACAAAATAACAAAACTTGTGCCAGTGTCTAAAATAAATGGACCTGACTTTTACAGGTGAACCATATTTCTTCGCCACTTATATGGTACTACATATAACTAGACCTGAAAGCAGGTGTAAACAGGGTCCAAAGCCCCCAGTGCAAGCCGCACCCGGCAACCAATGAAGGTGAGGCAAGTTGGACCAGCAGCCCCGCAGGTGTAACGCAAGTGGCAGGCGGAGAGCAGGACAGAGAAAACATTTAGTTCAAATACAGTACTTTGGAAAAATAATTTTAGCATATTTCATGATTTTCAACTACAGTACCATCTAGTGGCTGAATGGTGCCAAATGTTGCACAGAGCCCCAGTGCTGGATGGAAACTTTTAGGCCAGGTTTTGTGTTAATCGGTAAGACCTATGAGGAGATATGACATCACTTCATGTTTATCAAAATTCTTTATACAACTTCTGATCATGAGGGTCCATAAATTCTACATGCAACGTTTTCAGACTCACTGTCTAGATAGAAAAAGTAGGTTTTGCATATTTATACTTATTTAAAAAAAATAAGTATAGGCACAAATGGGAGTGACGTACATCACTAGATGCAGCTTAATTAAGGGAAACCATGGATATAAGATTTTTGAATGTGGGACATACTGTGTGGGAGTTATGAGCCAAAACGTGTTTATAGAGCCACCTGCTGGTTGACGTGTCCTTTTCTTGTGTCTGATGTGTGTGCCCCAGTCTTTACCACCCATGTGAATTTGAACTTTTATAGTTTAGGCTACAGTATGACTTTTATCAACAGAAGAATAAAAACAAATCTGAGTAATTTTCATAGGGTTTCCAGCAGCGCTGGTACTGGGAACCAATATAATATAAAAATAATATCTGTTATATTCCCATTTGATGGTAAGTTTGCATGATAGAAAAACTCTGTTGTCACATTTAATCAGCCTTAGTTGAAAGCTGGTCCTGTAATATTATGTAGGTTTTGAAAACACACACTCTGGAAATTCCCGTTTATAATGGTGCCAGGTGATCTAATTGGTAATTAGGTCCCCTGATCCAGTGGAGTTACGTGCCAAGGACAGATGTCTGATCCCCTTGGCCAAGTCTTATCTGAGTTGGAACTTCCCTAAAACACTGGAGTCAGATAATTAAGCCTGGAAGATGCCTACTAGGCAAATTTCAGTAGAAAATAGGATGATGTGCCCAAAATATGACCTGCGGTATGATTGGTTCATTTTTAGAAATAGGTGGAGACTTTACCAAGACTCCACCTGGAAAGGGATGAGAATCTGGGCTTTATAACACAGAGCACAGCCAGTGTGTAGTCGGTATGGTTCTGGAGCCTTAGTCGGCTTTGTCTTGTGAAAGAATAAACTCTATTGCGTTGAACTCTGATCATCTCCAGTGAATCTTTGAGACTCCAATAGCTGTCTATTTTTTCTGATGGTTAAGTGTTGGTGAAGAAGTCCAGACTCATCATCTGGCCCAGTCCCTTAGACCCTTAATAATATGCTCAGTGATTTCAATAGGGTTCCCAGCACCCTTGTGCTTTGAGCCCTAATAACAGTTGTGTGCAGTGTGCTTCATGCACCTCCAGCCACTGTCCGCAGGCCGGCGTCATGGTCCCATCTCCTCCAATCACAGTAAGGCGTGGCAGTGAGTGTCTTTGTGACAGCAGGAAGTCAGTGTGGTCATGAGAAGGAGTCACCTTCACTGCACCTACAAAACACAACCACAGTGAACTGATCAACAGAAGCAGCTCAGAGGGTTGCTTGATTTGACAAAATGTGAAATTGCAATATTGATCATGAATATTTTGATAACGATATTCCTATACATATGTGAAAATGCAAGTTGATGGGCACTGTTTCTGATATGCTTCCCCTTTAATCTCCATTAACTAGTCCAACAATCTTAAAATCCACACATTTCCTCACCAGTTCCTTGCTCCATGTCCACCACTGAATCAGTGATGATGGGCAGGAGTCTGTTGGTGAAGGGGTGTCTACACTGCTTCCCATGAACAGCCTGGAACAAAGAAGAGTAGAGAGAAGTAGAAAGATATGAACACAGCTATCTTAACAAATGTCATGCTTTAGTCAGTTATCATTTGTTTCTGATCTGGTCTGAATTTGGATCTTGCAGGGTTGAGCAACATAATGTTATCTACCATGAGACAACAGAAATATATGAACTGCTATGCATTTTATATTGTGGTAGCTGTCCCCTTTGTTCTGTTTGTATTGGAATAGTGTGAACAGATCAGTGAGCAGGAGTCGTAGGCAATATTGTAATTACAGGATGTATTACAGGTTTACATCTATGTGATGAAATACTGTAGCTTGACTTGTCAGTTGTTTCATTTAAAGGACTAGTCCACACGAAACATTCCTTTAAATAGCTGACTGACACAGATTAATGTCGAAAAGGCTAATTTGATCATGAGAGCCCATAGAAATATATCCATAACTTCCTCAAGGCAGGAAGGAGGATTTTCAACTTCTGCCCCTCAAATGTGATAAAACATTTAATAATTAATCAACTAACCATTACCAGTTTAAGCGGTAGCCATTGTGTGTGCTAGTTTATGTGAAGGAGTTCAGCCCCAACAGACACAGTGTGATAATAAATCACACCAACATATTAAACAGTACCAATAAAAGAAATGGTAAAGTTGGAGCTTATCAATACTACAGCCCCAGAGCCCGTTTAATAGCAGGTTTTGGTACCCATCTTTAATGATTACTGAACAAAAACACAACTTTTATAACTTTATTCTCTGACTTTGGTAAAATGGATCATATTTAATGGAGTTAGCTTTAAAGTAAGTACTAACTGAGCAGTTAGCTAGTTAGCTCAGTTAGCTGTGTTGCTATCTGCCCCATTAGCTTAGCTGCCTCTACCCAGACAGGGAGCTCGAGCTCTCTGAAATGTTTGATGTTTACACCACTAGCACAGGAGCTTTGTACCGCCGGGAGGAGGAGGTTTTTAGGCCCAGACTCCGAGGTCCTAGTCTGAGAAAGTAGAAAAAAAATTTGGAAACCTAGTAGATTCAGAGCAGTCTGAATCCTGAGCTTTGTGCTCACACGGATTACTTTTACAAACATTTACCACATTATTTGAAACTTTGGCCATGTTTAGTATGAACATGCACACTGTAACGTTATAAATACGACAGAAAATAAAGCAAAGATTAATAGGGTCCCTTTCAGTGACTGAGCCAGCTGTGCTCCCATCAGGGCTGCAGAAAGCTTAAGGAGGAATAGTGAGCTGTTTTTTGGGAACTACCCGGGTTCTAGCCACAAAGAATGAAAGCTGAGTCCCTCCTTTCTCGTCCTTTATCGTGAACGAGGCTACAGAGTTGTAAGTCCTTTCAGAGGCATCACAGAAAATATGCAGTTGTCTTTGCTTTACAGGACAAGGGATGTTACACTCATCCGATCTCGAAGGACGATGAAGAAATGTGACTTTGTGGTAGCTGGGTTATTTAAAGAGCCTCTGCATTGGTACCATTTAAAGCATGAAGACCAGAGATGAGAGCTGTTCAACAGTCTGTCCTTTCAAAGGATTTCCACTTAAGTAGTTGACTGACAGATGACTATCAAATCACTTATTCACCACTGAACAAAGAAACAATAACTATAACAAATCTCAAATAATGCATCCGGAGCACAGTCAACTTGCTGCAGGAAACAATTGGAGAGTCAGAGCAGGGCCTGATCCAGGCCTCTTATCAGTTCAGGTGCAGCCTGATAGGTTGATGGTGTTTGTTCTTAGTACACTGCCAGGGATGTTATCAGGCCCAGCAGCTTTAGGCTCCATCCATACTAAGCTGCACTGGATTTGCGTCTACTCCCAATATATGTTTACCATGCTGACTGCCTGCTATATTTTACTTTTTGCCATTGCTGTTCTCCGTTTGCAGTATTTTCTGCAACTAAGTAACTACTCGTATTCACTTTCAGCAGGACTCTTCTCACATCTGCTGTGGATACTGACAGTGGCCGGTCCTCTGGAGGTGGAGTAGACTTTCCAGCTGACTCTTTGTTGAGGAGACGTTTTTGTAGCTTTTGTAGCGTGTGATGGTCTGGATTGCCTGCCACATGTCTTTGGTGTTGAGGTCTCCCTCCAGTCTCTCCTGATGCCTCCACTTCACCTCTTTAATGCCACATTTCAGTCTTGCTCTGGTGATGCTCTTTGCTTCTTTGTCACTTCAACCAAAGGCAGTTTTTTTGGTTCTGGATAGAACCCTCACCTCTCCATTCATCCAGGCTTTCTGGTCTAGGTTATTGCTTCCCCTATACGTATATGTGTATATGCTGGTGGAATTTAGGTAAAAGGTAAAATAAAAATATCACATGGTTGTTTTGTCATGAATTTGCATCTGAGGGAATGTAAACAGCAGCAACAAAAACACCTGTGAATTCTGACATCTAGCAATGTGACATCTGGGAAATAAACAAAGTAAAGATGTGGGCACGGCAGTCCCTGAGTCTTATTTCATCCGTTTTGTTTTCCTGTGTCCAGACATTAGCCAAGAGTAGGCTGGCTGGTGGAGTAGCCGTAGGTCCAAACTGATTTAGCTTAGCTCTTATCCTGGCTCTCTTCCCCATTCCCTTGGGGTAATGTTTGGTCCAACTAGTCAGGCTGGGTGGTCGGAAGATGTTGTGTCTCAAGGTCTGCTCAACATCCAATCCCTGTTCTTCTTTTCCAGATGTTGATGGGTGTTCTTCTGTCATATGTGCTTCAATAATAAGTGAACAAAAAAACCCAAACAAAAATGTAGTGACGTTTTAGAGAGCTACTGGCAGCCGCATCTTCATGAGCTAATCACATTTACTCAAGAACCATTTCCATTTAATCCTACCTTTATACTCCACTGTAAGTAAAAAGGACACGTTGTACTCCACTACATTTATCTGACAGCCTCAGTAGCTGTTTTTTTACATACAGAAACACATGATAAGCTACAACAGTAAAATGCTGCTTACACATTGATGAATCAGTTCTAATTATGTAATTTATTAATATTAATTATTCATATTACTTTTAACACTTGTTTGAGTTTGAACGCATGACTTTTATTGGAGTATTTTTACATGTGTTATTGGTACTTTTACTTAAGTAAAATATTTGAGTATTTCATCCATCACTGACCATGGCAGATTTTATCCATCCTAATCCATACATACATGTACATCTTGTTGCATACATATTTATCGGGGCAATACAGATAAAAATTGGTAGAGACATTGCAGCAGGTATAGTGTATAAAGGGGTTAGCAGAAGGTAGTGTACAGTGCCCGTACCTATTTAGGCTGTTAAATTCAGGTTAAAACGGTTAAATAAAAGTGCATTTGAATATGCATGTGTCTACGTATGTATATTAGTGACAGGTTTAGTATGTATTAGACATGACTGTGTATGCATTGACATATAGTTAGGATGATGTGTATGTGTGAGTATCATTATATAGATTTTGTAGATTTTACTTAAAGGTTGATTCCACTTTCCTACAAACTGAGGGTTTTTTTGGCCGTTTTGATCCTTTCTGGGAAGTCAGACGCGTCAGACCACATAACTACAGAGTTTTAAAAAACTAGAAACATCAACATTTTCTTATGATACTGACTTTGAATACTTCCTCATCCTGTAGAAGCAGTGTACTGTTTGAAGAGTTCATATTCAAAAGTAAAAAATAATTTGGTGAGTTGAAAACCACGTAGAGCAAGAGAACAACTCTCCTGTAGTTTAGTTGAGTATTGATGGGTACATATTTGACCTATTTTGACCGCAGTACACGGTGTGCAGTTTTCAGAAATTCAGCACCAGCATCTGTACACACTAACCACTGTGTACTGTGTACAGTACTGTGTTTCCAGATTAGCATATGGTGAAATCTTTAATCTCTATATATCATTGTTTTCTCTAGTTTGAAGTCAAACTACTTTGTACACATTGTAACATGCTCGTTTGTTCAGCATGTTAATGTATACAGTTCGGTCCATTCGGCCAAAAAAGCCAGATGCAATGAATATGTAAAACAAACTGGGAAAATATTTATATTCATATTTCCTAACTATGTGTCTAGCTATCTAAATTCAGTGAAATTCATTGCCTCATCCTCATTAAAACTTAATCAAAAATTGGTACTAGCCTGATATCGAAGATCATCAGGATGAACAGCTATAGCCACATCTCCCAGCATAGTCTCAGGACGGGTGGTGGACACTGCCACCTCTCCATCTAATATAGAAGGAAAAATGGCAGGAATGGATATCATAAAAAAATATAAAACAGAACAACCCCAAGAACAATATGTATAACTTTCTAGACATTAACAAATACTCACCATGGCCTTCTATAGGGTATGCAAAGGTAAGCATTGTCCCAAACTCGACCTTGTTTTCATAACCAGGAACAGACAACATGGTCTGCTCAGACAGCTCCTTTGAGTCAACCTGACGGCAAATCCACAACTTTAAAGTTGACATCCATAGAACTTTTATGTTACTGCAAAGACCAAGATCATGCACAGATTAAAATGAATAATGCTAAAAAAAAAAAGTACAACAGGTGGACAAAATTGGATAAAAGCTAAGAAATGCGTCAATGTGACAATATCATTTTTGTTTTATGAGGGGTGCTAGAATACCGGTCAACCTGCTGTTGATGAAAACCTTGTCTTGTTTACCAAGGCATCAACAGCTGTGGCAATAGAGATGGACTATGTTTACCAGCTGGAAATGTGATTCTAATACTGCACCGCTGCGCAAAAAGGGCCAGCAACAGCTTTTTTGTTTATGGAAACTTGCTAAATTCCAGATTGACAAGACTCCAATGACTCTGTTCTACAGAGCGTTCATTGAATCTATCTTTTCATCTGCTGGAATGGCAACCTTGGTACCAAAGAGAAAAATGCCCTGGCTAGGATTGTTAAAGTGGCCAGTAAGATAGTGGGAGTTCAGTTCAGCAGTCTGAAAGATATGTTTATTAAGCAGGTGCTTACAAAAACAAAGGCCATCCGCTCAGAGAGCGCCCATTCCCTTAACTCTGAGTATGCATTGTTACCATCTGGGCTGTGCTAAAAGGCGTTGTTAAAGAAGATAACGGAGGGGGAGGTGAAGGTGTAGAGGGGTTTTGTTGATGAGAATGATGATGATAACAACAACTACAGAGTTTGAGGCAATTGTGTTTTCATTGGTTTTAAATTGTATTGAAGTGTAATGTATCTTATCTGAAGTGTTTTGTCTGCAGTGAAATATGTTTATCTGTAGTGCAATAGTGGTGCAATATATCTTATCTGCAGTGCAATATATCAATTTGTAGTGCAAAATATTGGTGATGAACATATTTGTAGTACAATGAAGCTTGTCCGTGGTGTTGACCTCGTGGTGGCGCAGATACCCAGACTAAAATGGACACGTAGTGTCTTGTTGGGTAGTGGTGATGTGTCACATGATGATATGGAATTGCGGTGCTAGGGTTGATGTGCTATGTATTAAGCAGGCCCGTTGCAGCTGTGGTGGACACTTGCAGCTTGCTTCAGATGATCTAAAACGACCTATTGGTGTAAGTTATCCGGTGCATAGGTTTACTGCTGTACGTTCTTGTCTTTCTTGTCTAACTGTATGTCTGTGTTTTGTTGTGTGTTTTTATCCACCTGCTTTACTGTGCATAGTGAGAGACATACATTAAAAATTATATAAAAAGGATCAGACCTCTTAAAGACCATTAAACTCTATTATCCTCTATTATCTAAAGTTACATCAATTTGCTGTCAAAAATTCCCGTTTGTGAGTGTATTGGGGGAGTTCCCAGGGTTGAAACATCAAATATTAGACCTATGCCTAGATGGTGTAGGTTTATAACAACCTATGTTTACTGTTAGCTTTTCATTAGCTACAACCGAAAAATAAAACTCACTCACTTACTCAGAAAAACACTGAGAAAACATCACTTATGGCTGTATAAGCTGCTTACGCACAAGTGAAGCCTAAAAATACTGGTCTATCAAAGGTAGACAGGGCTTGAAAATAGCTATTGACGTGTGGCAATCAGATGCAGCAAGCTGGAGTTACAGTTTGAGTGTCATTTGTGTGAGTGTCTCCAAGGTGAGCCTCTCTCTTCATTGCATATGGATTTAAGGGAGGATCAGGCAAATAATGGGAGGAGACATGTTAACACAGGCTGATTATGCATTTGTCTCGGTTGCTATCAGTTTTGTGGAGGATATTCTCCGCTTCTTGAATGGAGGTGTAAACATAATGCAGATGGAGTTTACAAGAGCCATAAGTAAGGTTGCAGTGGGAAAAGAAACTTGTATATAACCAAAGACCTGTCAATATGAAAAAAATGAAGCAATCAAGATATTATAAATAAACACAATATCTGATTACTGTAAAGCACAGAATAGTGGATGGATATGGTGGTTTGTGTCCATTAAACTTGAATTTGAACTTGACCAATGAACTGTAAAATCACTACAGCCTCTAACTCAGTGTTAACATCAATATCAACACCATCTCCACCTACCTCTGTCTTTCTCTCACTCTGTCCCCATTTTTTGCATCTTTGATTTATCTTATATTTAATCTGATTTTTGTTTACCATGTTGTTACCATTGTTTATTTTCTGAGTTTAGCAATCTCATAGAAATCCCACCTCTGAACTTCGCTTATGAGCTCTACCAGCATGCACCTGGAGGTTCAATACCAGGTTCAGTCCAGGGAATGACTGCTTAAGGAGCTGCTGCTTTAATAAATCACTTGCTAAAAACACACAGATTGCAGCCACAAACTCTAGGAAGCCTGCAGCACACATCTGCGCAATGCCATTTTCTTCTTCTTCTGTGAGGACAGCTGCATTAAAATGACAAACCCTGGTTTACAGCTAAACTCAGACAGCTGAGGTTGGAAAAGGAGGAGGCTTTTAGGAGTGGTGACAGGGCGTTAAAGTACATCTTTAGCAAGGAGGTGCGAGTAGCTAAACGGCTGTACTCAGAGAGACTAAAAAAACAGTTCTCTGCAAACGACACCACTTCTGTCTGGAGGGAGTTCAGACAGATCACAAACTATAAACTCAAAGTCCCCCACTCCATAAACGATTCTCGCCTGGCAAATGAGCTGAACCAGTTCTACTGCCGCTTTGAGAGTCAATCAGACACCATCCCCCGTGATGGTGCGGAGGAGTCCGCACCATCTGAGCGGAGAAGTCCGATCAGCTTCAGTCTCAGTCCACCACTTCTTCCCCTCCCTCCTCAGAGCTGGCCAGCTCCACCCCCTCCCCTCCTCCCTCCATCAAAGAGAGGGAAGTCAATGGTCTTTTCAGGAGGCAGAAACCCCGCAAAGCAGCTGGGCTGGACTCTGTCTCCCCATCCACCCTGAAGCACTGTGCTGATCAGCTGTCTCCAGTATTCACAGACATTTTTAACACCTCACTGGAGACATGCCATGTGCCAGCCTGCTTCAAAGCCTCCACCATCATCCCTGTCCCCAAAAAACAAAGGACCACAGGACTAAAGGACTTCAGACCCGTCGCCCTGACCTCTGTGGTTAGTCACAAACAGATTTTATATTTGAAGGGTGACAGCGTTCCTTGACCCAGGCTGTTCTACATGCTGCCCAAAATTCATAAGACTCCTGCAAGTTGGAGCAAACCTCATGAGATCCCTCAAGGACGTCCTACTGTGTCTGACTGTAGCAGCGAGACCTACTATACAGCTGAGTTCACTGATCATTTCCTAAATCCTCTCTTGATCTTGCATGCCAGTTATATCAAAGACACCTATGATTTTGTTGAAAGAATTAAGCAGATTCGCATCCCCTTTAAGGCATTCCTCTTCAGTAAATCTGTAAACTTCTATGTTTTAAAACTGTAATTCGTTTAGATTCATTTGTAGAGATTAATTTTCATATTGACATTAAATCTGTTTCTGTTTTAAAAACTGAAAATTCAAACATTGATTTTAAGCTTTATATTTAATGGACTATCCTTAGAAATGGATACCAATATTTTAAGTTAGCTATTAATCAGATATACAACTCTTCAAGTCCTAATCACTGCCTAGAATGATGAGAATAGCTTTTGGATGTTGAGCGAGGGGGGGCCACAGCTCCATGGAAAAGGAGGAGCCATTTACATCCCTTATATGTGGTTTTCCATTACTTTGTCCACCTGTGGTATTTACTGTACACCCATGTGATGCTGTTTTACCTCTATGTCAGAGATGGCAGATTGCAGAGCACAGCTCCAGTTAACTAAACCCTCTGAGCGATAGATGAGACCAGAGTCACACAGCCTGACAAAGGCCTCAGTCACAGCCCTGCTGAAGCCCTGAAATGAAATATAAAACATCTCAACCAGTACAAACAGTTCAAAGGTGTGTATTTGTTTCACTTTACTATAAAAACTTACTCATCACTCCTTATAGCCTGTGATAAATTTCAATATACTGAAGCATACAAAAGGAAAGCTCACATAATATGTACTGTACCCTCTGTGTACTATTCTGTGTAGTATTTGAAAATGTCTCTTGACATTCACATTTGATATATGGTAGAAAACTAAATATTGATGTGACACACACAGATGAGTGAGGGAGTGAGTAAGACTGCAGGAATATACATGTGTCATTTTGAGCACAAGCAGGAATAATAAAAGGAAAAGTACTATAATGCAGCATATTATTACTATTATTAGTCATACCGAATTAAAGCATGGCGTAATAACCGGTGTCAGAAAAGAAGCAAAAGTATTTATTAGTGAAAGAATATCCAACGGCCACTGTAAATTCTTCTTTGATTATTTAAGCGTTGGTTCTATCTCAAAATACCTCTCCTGGCCTGTACTTTATCCTCACATATAAATAAATGCATTAATAATCAAACAGTGTCTAATTTATGTTATGTGCAGTGTATAAAATTGGACAGAATTTTTTTACATTAATTTTTAATCCATGCTTTAATTTAGTGGGTATAAATAACAAATGACTTATGATGACTCAGAAGTCTTATTATTCCCATGAACAAATATTTTTTAGAACATATGGTCCACAAGTGAAACGCCATTCGAATCATTTGCAAAAATTATTTTAAACTTCTACACATACAGGTTTTCAACCAACTTTTTGCAGGTACCATAATACAGTAAGTCAGTAAGGTATGTGACGGCAGACTTACTGGATCCATAGTGAAACACGCTCTGCTCCAGTCCAGAGAAGCTCCGAGTGTCCTCAGCTGGTGGTAGATCGCTTCTCCTTTCCTAGGACACACAGGGACAAAAGGGTTCACCTCACTGAAGCCAACATCATGTAGACCAAATAGTAGATGAGAAGTGATGATGTTAACGTGAAGACTCACTCGTTCTTCCATTTCCACACCTCCCGTAGAAACTCTTGCCTGGTCAAGTCCTGTCTGCCCTTCCCTTCTTCCCTCAGCAGTCTCCTCTCCACCACTGTCTACACACACAAGTTGATGCATGGTTCAAAAGTAGCTTATACAATTACTTCGTGATGACATTTTTTAAGGTTGTCTAAAAAAATCTGTCGTAGATATGATACGAAGCTGATATAAATCCGGAACGTGAACTTAATTTACCTCATAATAACGAAACAACAATTATTATGCTTCTCCCACACTTTCTAGGTTGTCCTACGGAGCTTTTTATTTCCATGGCTCTGAGAGATGTCTTTTATATGAAGGTGCTGTCTTAAGATCAGTTTTCTTAAGTACTAATCTGTATATGAAAACAATTACATACTGGTTCTGGAGGAAGCTTTCCAAAGTGTGAAAAAATAACACATCTCGACTTGAGCATAGAGACTACACACTTTATGTGATACATCTTTCAAATTATTTTTTGTTTGTATAAAAAGAAGACAGAACAGAACAGGTATGGTCTATGTTTGCATGCATGGACAGATGTCTGTCACAATGTCCTCTTTACTACAACTGGAAGACACAAGAGTCTGAAAATTTTAAATCCTACACATGAAGGCTACAAACAAACAATACTCAAATTGCAACTGATACTCAGATTGGTGCATCATCTGATGACTTCTAGTGACTTATTGAACCACAACCTTCCATTGAAAAGAGTTGGCAACACTGATCTTCACTGTTTGCAGGGGACAAGACCGTTCAAGCTATCAAATCCAGTAACATTACTGTCATCAGCGGAACCAACAGGTAGCAAAATTAAAAATGGCAAATAAAGGATAGGTTCACATTTTTTCAAGTCTATCTTCATACAATACCCACATGCCCATATGCACATTATAACTGTTATTGGTTACTGGCTGTAAAAAAAATCTCCTAATGCAGTTCCAATGTAAGTGATGAAGGACATAATCCACTATCCCCATTCTGTGCAAAAATTCATTCTGAAGTTCAGCTGAATAGTAGCTAATATGAAGTGTCAGCAGTCTGAGTTAGTCAATTCAATTGGGTATCTTCCAAAGCTACAGACCAACGAGGACTGTGGATTTTGTCCCCCTTGCACTGGGACTATGTAAGGAGTGGACAGGAAAAACATATAAAGCCACAAATAACCGTTTTAACTTACATATGGTTATGTAAAAATTGTTCTGAGGGAGAACTAAGAAAATGAGCCTTTCCTTTAAATCACAAACTGTCATAGAAGAGGAAGAAGAGAAGATGATGTCATACCTGTGTTGCAATACCCGCATGGTCACAACCAGGGACCCACAATACTCTGTAGCCCTGCATCCTCCTCCTGATGGATTAAAAATTCATATATTACTGCTCCATCAAAAGATATGCCTTCTGAAACAGTCTGACTCAATTCTTTACTAGCGACAATTACTTTGCACAACATTCTGTATTTCTGATTCTAATGTGGTGGTGGCAGTTACCATCGAACCAGAGAGTCTTCTACAGCTACAGTTAGAGCATGGCCCAGGTGCAGAGTACCAGTCACGTTTGGTGGAGGGATACACAGAGAGAAGGTCTGATCCACAGCGTGAGATAACCTCTCCTGATGGACATGACAGTAGGACATTTTAAAGTTTGAAATGCAGCTAATTAGTCATCACTATTTACTGTAAAAAAAAAAAAAACATGTCAAAGTGAAAAAATACATTTATTTTAATTATTTGTATAGCACTTTTCTTCAAGTTCTTTAACAAAGGACATGAGAGATACAATTACATAGTAAAAAGTACAACCAGATTAATTACATAACATAATCAATAAAATAAATAATACAACATTCTCCATGAGATATTATATCATACAAGTCAGTTAAATGCCAGTTTAGTGGTTTAACGTTAAAAGGAGCAGTTTAGCTGCCGTTTAAAAAAATAAATACAGTTGCGGTATGGATTGTGGACAGTATTTCATTTCAGTTTAGGTAGGTAGATTTATTTATGTCACAATACAACAGGTTACAGAGTAACTCCCTTCTGTTACGTAGCAGACAATGAATTAGAGTTTAAGAGCCTGATAGCTTGGGGGGAAAAGCTGCACTGCAGTCTGGTGGTGCAACAGCAGAAACTTCTATATCTCTTCCCAGAAGGCAGCAGGGTGAACAGGCTGTGGCTGGGTGGGTGCTGTCCTTTAGTGTCCTTTAGTATCCTTTGGGCTCTGCACAGTCACTGCACTTCATGTAGCTGATAATGTCATGTTAATGGTAATTTATTAGATTGGTAATTATCGTGCATCCCTATTAAATACCCTGAAAGGATCTATGTCAGTTCTGTACTCTACAATTTCAAACTTTCTGTCACAGCCTGATGGTCGCCGAGCTCTCCAACCGGCAAATCAGGGTTTTTTTCTATTTATTGTGCGTTTTGTTTTTTGTAACTTTCATATACAACCTTTTTTGTCACTGTCATTTGTGTCATATGTGTTTGTGTGTGTATGCTTAAGCTTCATGCGTGTATGTCATATGTCAGCTTGATGCCTGGGGCTGGGTTAACAGGAAAGAATGGAACTTCTGGTTTGATGTTTATTTGTATTGTTCCACACTGATATTCAAGAAATAAATCTTGGAAAGAGAAATTTCAGCTAGACATTAAAGATTCTGTAACATTAAACACAATTGCTATGTTTTATTTAATTTTACTTATAAGAAAAGCTGTATTCAAGTGACATGAAAGTTATTTTTGAATAACCTTATATCTGAGGCCATTACTTTAGTTTATGAACAGCAGCTTTATTCAAGAAGTTATAGTTTAATGTGTTGTTCTGCTCTAAAATCCTCACATGTTGCTCTGGACTGAAGAATCCTTCTTTCTCCCACCACTGATACCAGCTGGACTCCACATATTCTGGACTGTACGAGGATGGGAACAGCGAGCTGGTATCTGCAAAGACATAAAAACTCTTCTAAGTCTGCAGAGACAACAGGTAGACAAGCTGATGCTGGAAAATGCAATCACCTTTCTTTGACCCGGGAGATGTTTGAGCAGTGTACACTATCTTCTGCTTCTCACTCCATTTCACTGCTTTATCTTCAGTAGTCTGGAAACAAAAAATATCAAAGTACAGAGTACAAACAGGACTAAGTCAATTGTCAAGAGTTTTTTCTATACCATTTATTCTATAGTAACTAAGTATTTAATACATCTGGGTTGAAGGTTAGACAGTGTGGGCAATATCACAAATTAGTGGACAAAATTGCTTTATGCCAATTTAAAGTGATTATATGATTATTTGCATCAACGTGATGAAGAACTGATTTGTCATGTATTCATTAGGCAAAACAGATATGCTTGTCTAGTAATTTTATCCATTCTCTATTAATTTACAATATCAATATAGTGATATAAAATATATATACTGAGCTATAGGAGCATATCCACATTACCCACCCCCTAACCACAGACCCACAATCTGGGGCTAGTATGATGACTATGATTTGCTAAAAATGTAACAAAATTCTGTTTTGGTTGTTTAATGTGAAGGTTTGGGCAAAAACATGAGGACACAGACACAAAGCTATGGAATGCCATAATAAACAGACATAAAAAGATAATCAAATTCTTACAAATATCAATATTCTGCTTGCTTTAACAGATAGGTATGTACATGTACAAAAATGAAACCACCGCTTTGGAGTTTGAAGATAATAATGCTGTTTTTAGAAATCCGTAAGGTGAGGAGTTTTTGACTACTAGTAAGAAGAGCTGACTGATATGAGAGTTTGATATTTGAGGATTTTAAAATCCGATATACCAGCTGGTCTTTTTCCTGTGTCGTATTTGTGCAAATGACACAATCTACAATCTTTCCAGACCGAGTTAGCAGGAGCAGAACTGGACCACAGCATAGATAGTGTGTAAATATTAAACTGTATTACAAATTACCTCTTTTAAGCTGCTTCCCTTATGGCTGATCCTGTTGCTGTGATAAGGTCAACTATCAGCAGCTGCTGTGCTGTGATGGCAAAGTTTAATCCTTTGTCCTTTACCAAGCTGACGACAAACCAACAAGTACCCAAGCCCCAGAGAAGGAGCAACGGGATTAGTAAACGGTAGAATGCAGCGCAACCAGCGTAACTTACAATGTTACGGTGGTTGTTGTGTTTATCCTATACGCTGTATAAAACTAAGATGTAGCCGCAGTGTTTCTGGTTAACAGTACCGTTCTGGGCAGGTGACAGGTGTGTTTACGGTGTTTGTGTTCTCTGAGAGAACACAGCGTGGATAAAGTCACAACTGATGGCGTGTTAGCATGTTAATATTACGTAAACATATGGATAAAACATTTATAGACAACCGCAGATCGAAACAAATGATTAGTGTATTCACCCGGGAGTCAAATTTACATATCTGCCAATCACAGCTGTAGCCGATAACTACCTGTGACTACTACAGAGTCATTTGACCTAGTAGTGAGTGCTGATTGTATCCTTTCACACTGAAGACAAAAGATGGTGATGGTGTTTCTATTGTTGCTGGTTCTTTTAAAACAAAAATCAAACAAATCTCAGAACTGTTTTACTTAAATTCCACCAGCATGTCCACATCCCCACCAGAGGAACAAACACGTCTACATCAATATTCCTGGCAGCTACAAAGCCCTCCCCCGTCCTAAGTTTGGTTTATCAGACCATATTTCTCTGCTTCTTCAGCCCACTTCCACCCAGCTGATTAAAAGGGTCAAGCCAATAATTGAAACAGTGAAAGTGTGGACAGGTGAATCTACAGCAGCTCTGCAGGACTGTTTTGGGAGCACAGATTCGAGTATGTTCAGAGAGGCCGCCACCCAGCAGAGCCACATCAACCTTATGGATACATCATCAGAGACATCATACATCAGCAAATGTGCTGATGATGTGGTGATCACAAGACGATAAAATCATTCCCCAATCAGAAGGCATGGATGAATGGAGAGGCGAGGGCTCTATTCAGAGCCAAAAAGCTGCTTTTCGGTTGGGTGATAAAGAAGCTTACAGCACTGCCAGAGCGACACTGAAAGCTGGCATCAAGGAGGCAAAGCGGAGACATCAGCAGAAACTGGAGAGAGACCTCAACACCAACAACACTAAAGATATGTGGCAGGCCATCAAAAACATCAGAGGCGACAAAAGCAGGAGCTCCCCCATCATGTGAGGCCACATTACCAGATGAACTTAACACCTTTTACGCCCGCTGTGATCTCCTCAACAAGAAGTCAGCTGTAAAGTCTACTCCACATCCAGAGGACCGGCCATGTGTCCACAGCAGATGTGAGGAGAGTCCTGTTGAGAGTTAATAAGTACATCAGCTGAGCCAGATAACATTCCTGGCCGTGTACTAAAAACCTGAGCCAATCAGCTGGTTGATGTTATTACTGACATTTTCAACATCTCACTGTCTCAGGAGAGGGTTCCAAACTGCTTCAAAACAGCCACCATCGTTACTGGACCTAAAAATTCTGCAGTGTCTACTCTGAACGACTACCACTCTGTGGCTCTCACCCCCATTCTGATGAAGTGCTTTGAGAAACTGGTTCTTCAGCACATAAAGAACAACATCCCAGCCAGCCTGGACCCTCACCAGTTTGCTTTCAGAACCAACAGATCCACAGAGGATGCCATCTCCAATGCCCTCCACTCAGCCCTCACACACCTTGAGAAAAACAACACCTACATCAGAATGCTGTTTGTGGATTTCAGCTCAGCATTCAACACAATCTCCCCATGAAACTGATCAGCAAACTCCGGGTTTAAATACAACACTCTGCAACTGGATATTGGACTTCCTCACAAACAGACCCCAGTCAGTTCGGCTTGGCGGACTCACCTCCTCCACTCTAGTGCTCAACACGGGAGCCCCCCAGGACTGTGTGCTCAGCCCGCTCCTGACTGCATTCCCCGACATGAAGAGAACTCTGTTGTGAAGTTTGTGGGTGACACCACCATCAATGGCCCGATTTCAAACAATGATGAGACTTCATATCGGGAGGAAATTGATAATCTTGCTGAGTGGTGCTCAGAGAACAACCTACTGCTCAATGTCAGCAAAACCAAGGAGCTGATCGTTGATTTTAGGAAGGAGATAAAGACACACACTCCTGTCTACATCAGTGGCGCTGAGGTGGAGCAGGTGAACAGTTTCAGGTTCCTGGGAATCAGGATCACAGAGAACCTGACATGGTCATCTCACATCTCCACGCTGATGAAGAAAGCTCAAAAACTCAGAAGCTTAAGAAGGCCAAATTCCCACGCCAAGTTCTTGTCAGCTTTTACAGAGGAGCAATAGAAAGCATCCTGACTGGAAACATCACTAACTGGCATGGGATGTGCACGGCCCAGGACCGGAGGGCTCTGCAGCAGGTGATTGAAACTGCTCTGAAGATCATTGGTACCCATCTCCCGAGCATCAGTGATATCGGTGAGGTGAGGTGTCTGTGCAGAGCCCAAAGGATACTAAAGGACAGTACCCACCCAGCCACAGCCTGTTCACCCTGCTGCCTTCTGGGAAGAGATATAGAAGTTTCAGCTGCAACACCACCAGACTGCAGAGCAGATTTTTCCCCCAAGCTATCAGACTAGCTAGAAGCTATATAAACTCTGATTCATCCTCAGCACTGCTCCAGTGATTATAGTTTATTTCTGTTTACCATTTTTATAATTGCTTCTATATTAATGTATATAGTCTGCTATGTAGCAGAAGGGAGTTACTAGGGCTGCAGCTAACGATGATTTTAATACTCGAAGCTTCTACATATTATTTCATCAATTCAAGCATTGTTTGCTTGCTGCTTTACCAACACAAACATCACCCGAATGCGACAACTTACTAATGTGCAGCTGATACCCGTTTAACTCATCACTGTGACGTTACAAATTCACAGGCCAACCAGGAGAACAGGAGAACAGCAACCGCAGGTGTTTACATTTTCAGCTGAGGATTGTGGCTAGCCCTCAACTCAACAATCAGTCATGATTTCAGTTAAATGCTAAAGTTGCTGTTACCTCGTCTGTGGTCCGCCGGCAGAACACCGGCTGCTTTCTGATCAGGTGCCATCGTGCTGTTGCCGAGGCGACATAAGTTTCGTTTTACGTGGACCGACTATAACATTACAAAGTTGTTGTTTTCTTTAGCTTGAAATAATACCATATTTGGACACTCTTCTTCATCCCTTGCTATTTTCTCTCTCTCTCTCTCTCTCTCTCTAACTGAACGCCAGTCAGTTGTGACTGTAGTCAGTTATGTACAGAATGCCTCATATGGAAGAAACTTTAAATTTTTTATACAAATGTTCATTGAAGAATGAGTCCACATCTCACAAAGGCAACAAATTGCTACCTTGGTTTTACATACTTTCTATAAATCGGATTCTGTTAATGTTAGAGCCCCTCAAATTTGATTTAACATTAATCAAACACTGAATTAATGGAAATGTCCAACATAAATACTTTGGCAGACTCCCGAGGAACCCCAAACCACCCATTTGCATTTTTTTTCCATTTTCAAGGGCCAGTAATGAAAAATCTGCTTGTGCATTTAGGATTTATATGTTTGAAGATATTGAACCCTTAAAGTGGCTTCTTTAGGGTACAGAAATGACTAAATTCTCAGGGGCAAAAATCTAACCTCCATCTGATCTGACACGGTGTTCCTTTAACAGTCTTGCTACTTCAATTTTGACTGAATTTGTCACAAATTTGTTTGGAAATGACAGAGAAAGCCGTTTACCTAGCAGGAATTGTCTAATGAAATACGCTAGCAAGTTGCATAATGGGATGTGTAGGATCCAGTGTTATAGGTGCTTCACCCATTCCAGTTGCTGTTGTACCTCTTTATCATGCCTACATTTATGGGTAAAGTACTAACCCAATATTACCCTAGGATTACTCATGAACTCCAGACTTTTCACGTAAGGGATACACCAGAATTGACAGGTCATAAATGAAACACACTGTTATTATCGCTTTAATATTCTTTCCTTATGAACCTGTTGGATGAAGACGTTAGACTACATGTTTAGCTTAGGATGGACATGTTAATTGCCTCTTCCCTACTTACACTATGCTGACTTGACAGTATGGCCTCTTCTCGCTCTCGTCTACGCCTCTGTTTCTCAGCTTGGGGCCGTGGAGTGGAGTTTGACTTCGATGAAGAGAAGGACGCCGGGTTTCGTGGGTTGCTGGAACAGAGTCGGGCTGCTCCTCTTCCTGCCAGCCTCAGGACACGACCTGCCCTCCACATCCTCAGTAACATCCTACACAAGTAACAAACACAGAGAACCACAGTCAGGTCATGTAAAAAGGTTTATCTGCGATGACAGTTAATATTTGATAACGTTAACGCGGGCAAAGTTTAAGTTACTTACTGTACTTTCTCTCTTTCACTGAGTGCTCAGCATGGGTGCCATCTACGACCTTTTAAATTAGCTTCATTTAGCTTCGTCTTTGTAAACCCGCGAAAGTGCATTTCTACAATGTTTCTAATCATATGTAAACAGTACGTTATATAACCTCGTAGAATGATTGTGTCATTTCAAATAACTGATATATGTTTATCTTATTGTCAGCATGGGGATGCTGTTTGTTGACGAACTGCTAAACTTTACGTACAACAGGAAATAATCACTGTCCGTCTGTAAATGTCTTCCCCACAACACTACTGATGTCAAGCGGAGCCAAAAAAAGAAATAACGCATCCGACCTACATTTAGAAATAAAAGTATTTCTGGAAATAATTTGCACCAAAGATGCAATATTAATGTCTTGAATGCTGATTCATTGCGTATATAATATTAACGTAAGTGAGGTTTGGCGTGATTTGTGCAACACTACGATTCAGACAGCTAACGTTAACCGTTTTGACGTGAAAACATTAAACTTCCGTTTTGAGTCTGGCTAACTCATTCTGCAACTTGACTTTATGTTGGCCACATATCAGCAAAGTAACGTTAGTCAACGCATCCTAATCTTCAGCAACCTCCCCTATTAGTGATTTAAAGAACCAAGGTCAGTCATTGCAGCTATCGTAACGTTATATTTCAGACACTGTCTAGTATCACTGCCGGTCGACTCCGGTTCTTTACAGCTTAACGCTAGCTAACGGTAGCGTTAGCAAAGCAGCTCCTGGTATGGCGGAGGTTCCCGGGACATCAAGTGAAACGATAACGGAGACTGTTGAGACTAACACACCGCCGCCGCCCCAGCAGGTAAATGATGAAGGACTGGTCGTGAAGACATGTAGACAGTTTTGCTAACTAATGGTACTGCAGAGTACAAACGGTTTCATTTGTGTCCAGCACCAGCGAGGCCGTACAGCTTGTTGACAGCGTTCATGTTATTTGCCTGAAATGATAACACGACTCTCAGCCCTGCTTATGATGCATCAGGAGCCCTAATGTGTTCATTTCGTTAAGCTTCAAAAATGACCATGCCCGTTAGGATGTTCGCTACGTTTCTCATGTGATGCTGTGCATTAACAGTAACAGTAACCAGGATGCGGTTTTGCGGAGCAGGTTCAGGCACGGTTCTGGACCTAGACACACAAGAGGGTTTTGGTCGAATAGGGTACATTCCAAGTATCTTGGACGTCACTTAGAAAGTGATTGAGTGCAAGAGGCTGCAAGGGCTCAAAATGCTGTAAAAAGAAAGGGGACTGCACTTTGCCACGATATTACGTTGCCTTGACAACGCTGAAAGTTGCACACTTTTTATTTTATTGAATTTTTACCTGATTTTTAAGTCTTGCAGGCTCTTGCCCTACAAAGTGGAGGAGACGCAGGGCTCCAGACAAACTTTTTTTGACCTCCATCCCGGAACCATCCTGAAAAACAATTTAAACCGTCCTGAAGTTAATGTAAAGTGTCCCAAAATCAAAATGTTGTTCCTTTACTTTGTTATTATCCTCGATAGTTGTTAGTGACATAATAAATGATGATGAATTGATAAAAAAAATATAATTATTTTGCCCAATTCAATCAAAAAGATTTAAAAACAAAACTGAAAAGTTATCTGTTGGGGCACCTTTTTACCTCGATGATAAATGATTTAATTTTAATTCACTTTAATAGCTCCTGTGTTTCAGCAGGTTTTCTGCTGATGTTCAAAACTTTTTGCACATTCAGAATCTCTCCAACAAATCTGTTTTCTCTGACATGTCCAGAATAAAATCATAATATGAGACTAACATTATTTAATGAGAATTCATAATATTTTTTAAAAGTCTACCTGATCTATACTCTGCTGTGCTCCCATTCAGACTGTAGTGAATGAGACAAGTGCACTGCACTTGGGCGGCTGTGGCTCAGGAGATAGAGCGGGTTGGCTGTTAATCGGCGGTTCAATCCCTGGCTCCCCCTGGTTGCGTGTCGAAGTGTCCTTGGGCAAGATACTGAACCCCGAATTGCCCCTGGCGGCTATTCCGCCAGTGTATGAGTGAGTGTGAATGTTAGTTTCCGTTTGAGCACTGTGTGTGACTGGTGAATGCATTTCGCTTTGAGCGGTCGAAAAGACTAGAAAGGCGCAAACCGAAACCAAAAGTAATACTTGTGATCAGGCAGAAATCTCGGACAAATCCACATGTTAACTTCTGCAGCTCTGACAAAATTAGTGGCAGCCATGAAGAGATTGTCAAATTCTCTAAATGCTAAGGAAAGGAACCTCAGTGCTTCCTTTCTTATTTCATTTAACATAAGGTACACTGGACATCCCTTACGAAAGGAAAGCAGATAATGCCGATGCTCTGCCATGTGAATTCCCTCCTGTTGAGGTCCTATTTAGTAAACAGTAATAGATTCTGGAAACTCACAAAGAGCGAGGATCAGTCTCTCTTCCAATGATTGTCCTCAGCGTAGCCTAAAAAAAGTTTAATTTTTAATTGAACTTAGCAGCAGGCGGGCGTGTGCGTGAGTAGACCACTTCACCTCACTCTAACAGGGACACTTGAAACTGAACATAGACTGCTCCCTGATAAAAGAAAAATGTTTCTGCTGATACCTGTTCAGAAAAAAAAACAAGAAACAAAAACACAGATTTATATCTGTTAACCTGTTGCTACTTTCTAAAGGGAATACTGCTGCTAAAATGCACCTTAATTGTTTAAAGTGTTTGCAAACCACATGTTATTGCACTTTTGTATATATATAGCAGTACATTTAAATTAAAGGTGCGCAATACACTACTTTAGAACTCTGAGATAACAGTTGTTGTGATTTGGCGCTATATAAAAAAAATCAAATGGAATTGAAAATAGAATTCATGATTCAATTTTGCGCATAGCTATGGGTTTACTTGCAGAAAATCAAGAGATTGATTGAGATTAAAATTTTTATGGTTAATCACGGTACCCCCTTCTTGGATGAGAAATCATCTTTCAATACCCATAAATGTAAGGGAAGTAGCCGATCCATGGTTTTTCTCTTCATAATGTCTAGCATAATCCATGTTCCCATTTCTACTGGCAGCCTTATGCTCTGCCACTCTCATTTTAAGTTTCCGTTTAGTTTGGCCCACATACATGGGACACTTAATATAGTCAACATGGATAGACAGACATTGAATTCTTTTGTTATATTTCTTTCCTGAATATGGTTACATATGGAACATATGATTAAATGATGTTTTTGTGTCAGTGTGTTAGAACAATGTGCACATTTGCCACATCTATAGTTCCCATAAAGCTGTTGTGAAAGCCAATTAGTTTGAGTGGGCTCATTATACATGGAACTGACAACAAAATCTCTGACATTTCTGCCTCTCCTGGAGCAAAAACGAAGTCTAGAAACTGATAAATGGCTCAAATTTGGGTCACATTCTAAGGTATTTGAATGTTTATTTATGATCCGTTTAACTTGTCTAGAAGATGGTACAATGTTCTGATTGATTGATTGATTTTTTTTTTTTTTTTTTTTTTAGTCCAACCAACAGTCCAAAACGCTAAAAAACTCTTCATTTACTATTATTAATGACAAAAAATAGCATCAATTCCTTACATTTAAGATGAAAGCAGCAAATGTTTAACATTTTTGTAAAAAAAACAATTTTTTTACTGAAACAATGTGTCGATTATCAAAATATTTTGTGTTACTGTATTATTTCTTACACTGATGATGAAACGCTCACTTGATCAGGCTGAGGGCTGAAATGATCTCCTGTATACAGCTGTACAGGTATATACAGGTGTGAGTCACTGGATTTCTGTGTAGTGCATGATTCTGTAACTGGTAACTGTTGCTGCTTTCAACAGATGCTATAATGTTTATTGCAGCCTCAAGATGTTTCTACATGTCATAACATGTTTCTTGATAGTGAAGATATGATCTGTAGCCTTTATGTGATGGTGCTGGCAGCTGGTCTGCTCCTCTCAAAGATCGCAGCAGGCTGGAACAGAACAAGGACAGATGCTGCAGCTGTGACATGTTATATTTAACTGACGTTGCTTCACAATGACGCCTCTGAAGCGAGGACGTCTAATTTCTGCCACTCGCATCTTGGGGGGAGGTTATGTATTGAATATTTACTCGCTTAAACCGGAAGTTGTTCTGGTTCAGACACTTCACTGATAAACCACAGAATTGCAGAGTTATTATATCAGGATGAGACTCCTGTCCAAACTTATTAGCACGCTGCCTCTCTGTCTGCTGCGAGTCTGCTTTGTGAAATGACTAATGGTGCGTCAGATGTCGCTACGGCAAAGAACTGGGATGGTATTATCTCCTTTCCTTTAGTAAAGGAGGGTCCAGTGTATGCTATACTAAATGAGATAAGAAAGGAAACATTTAGCGAATCCAACCAGCTGTTAATTTGATATTTTTTCAATCCTCACTGAACCGGAAGTCCTTCTGCTCCGCCATCTTGCAGGCTGTCTTATTTGTGAGAGGAGGAGCAAGGAGGGATCTATGAGGAGCCATGAGCGAGGATACATGAGAGCAGCCTTCATAGAAGTCTTTAACTTGCCGACATGCCCTCTTATTGGATATCAGTTATTACTGGACACTGTAGCTGATTAGATTGATCTTATGGAGACAATTAAAGTCAGAGAGAGTCAGCAAGAAACACTTTTTACATAATTTCCATTCAGTTCACATGTGAGGCTGATAATTCCTGAATGTCGCCTTTGATATGAGTTACATCAAAATTAAATTTCCCTGAAACATTTAGCCTAATCAATCATTTTCAGTGTTCATATTCTGGGTTATTCAATAATGAATTCACAACAGAATATAAATAAATAAATAAATACAGCCACGAGCGGTGATTTACATGTTCAAATTTTTTAATGCCAAAACATTTTCTAAATAGTTTCACACACGTGGTTCAACATTGTTATGAAAGATATCTTGCAACTTTTGTAAGTATTGGATAGGGCTGAAACAATTGATCGCGTAAATCGATTCATTTCATTACTGAAAAACATTGATGCAAATTATCTGCATCGATACTTCGTTTAATCCATATAACTATACAGCACACTGTTTCGCACGAACATTTATTACTGTCGCACTTCACGGGTTCGCTGTGTGAACACAGCATGACTATGCTGCCGCTGTTTGCAAAGTGTCCAAAGTATGGGATAGTTTCAAGCTAAAAGAAAACAACAACTCTGTAATGTTACAGTCTGGCCACCGTAAAACGAAACTTATGTGGACTACCAACAGCACGATGGCACCTGATCAGAAAGCACCCGGCAGCAACCACGCCGCCGCCAAGCAAAAGTACTT